GGAGATGAACAATTTTTGCGAATCTTGGAAGAATTCTGGTAATCATTGAACTCAAGAAAGTTGCACAATTTACAATTCATTAAAGTCAATCCAAAATATATGATATTATATTCAATATTTCCAAATTTTTGAATTTGATTTTTTATTTCATAATATTCAAGATCTAAGCTCATTAAGCATCCCAAAAACAGAGTTTCGGAGTGCGATATTCATTCAAAAAATTTTTGTCTCCCCCCCCCCCACCGGAAATCCTGCACACTTTTGCACAATAATGAGATACAAATCATTTTGCGTTACTTGTAGATCCTTAAACAATATTTAGTAATTTCTAAATTTTTTTCAACAACTTTCACTGTTGCAGAAATAACTGAGGGTTTTCCATTTGTAAGTGATCACTCCAAAGCAATTTGCTTCCCTCAACAATTGGCAGAATGAATGCGTTCTCAGCTAGTTATGCAAGACCGTTAGCATAATGATACCTCGTTGCGCGCGGGTAATAGATCTTCGTTCGATCGGAGGGTGGTTGGTAGAACGATTATTTGCATTGCTTCACGAAATCTTAAATTGGCATCCGACGGGGGACAGTTTCACGTGGGTAGCAATTATTCAGAACGAAGGTGAAAAATAATTAGAATAATTTAGTCTCCCACTGTTTCTTGGCTAACACGCAAGAACTGCTCAAGTGGTCCTAGAAAATGCGCTACTTTGAGCACAATGTGCAGATAGATTCTTGTGAAGCAATAATCAATACCTCTGGCTCGAGTCCTTTAGAGAAAAAATCGATGCGGTGGCAAATTGCTGTCAAGACTATTATGTGTGTGAATTTGTCCCCACACATGCGGGTCATTAAGCATCTTCTTTTGTATGCAAAGAACAATGTCCTGAGCATGTCGCGGCATGCTAATTATCGTACACCCTCACCCCTTCTCCCCCCCCCCCCCTCCCCCTCCTCTCCCCCCTGAGTGAACGATCGACAGTCAGTGATCAAACAAAAAAAGGCGTGGCCTGTGATCCGCGCGAGATCGCGCTGAGGCGAAATCGAGGCGAGGGGCGGAGGCCCTCGACTCCGCCCCCTACTATTTCCGGACCCATCTCGCAATAGCGCATCGTTATATAGCACCTCACCTCACCCCTCAACCTGCGTGTGTGTGCCTTGTAGATTCTGTATTTGTGCTATGACATCACGTCAACAATAGACGAACGATTACGGATTTGTGACACGCATTTGCTGCCGTCGGTATTCTCTAGGATCTGCTATCTGAGACGTAACTACACAACATACGCAAAAAATGCGATTATTACTGCTTACATACATTACGGTGAGTAGCTGACCCCCAGATTCCCATGGTAGCCCTCATCTTCTTTGTCCATTTTCTCTCTAGCATATAGAACTAGACGCTAAGTATTTGTATCCTCGCAGAAACGGGAATTGAAGTTCAAAATTGTCATGGTACTATTCCAGAAAAAATCCTATAGAAATAATCATATTCTTCTAGAAACGCCAATTTTTTGTAACAACTCTACGGGCAATCGTCTCCTCCAAGAACAGTTTTTAATCATATATGGCTAAGCACATTTTTAATAAATGGTAATTTTTATCCAAAATAATTCTACAAAAAAAGTAATATTGAGAACTAACTTCCGTAGGTGATCATGATTTTCTAAGGATGGCAATTTTTTTTTCAGGACAGGTTTATATGGGTAAACTTCTTTCAGAAACAGATTTCTTGACTTTCTTAACTTCTCTTTGGTTAACGATTCTTTCAGAAAGTAAGTTTTTATTATCCAAGACTTTTGCCCATAAACGGGAAACCCCATTTTTGAAGACTACCATATAGTCATACTCTTCCCCAAAACGAGATTCTTTGATAATGATTTATAAATAACAAGAATTACTAGAAACATCTCAATCTCCAAAGCATAACATGGAAAGTTTCATCTTTTCAAAACGAGAATTTTCATTCACTGAAACCTGTCACCCAAAAAGGCAAAACGCTTGAAATTCCATACTTCTCGAAAAAGGAAATTTTGATTTCTGAAACTATCCTTCATACTGACCTACTGATGTGATCCATCCTCATAAGTACTCGTACTCTTTGAGAGAAGGAAATTGTTTGTAGAATTTTTTTGTAGAAGAGGGTTTTTTTGCAACGGCTAGAAATCGGAATTTCTAAACGTAATGATGTTTATAGACTGATTGTTCAGATATGTCCATTTAATTTATAACTCTGTCCAACAAAAGATTGGATTTTTCCTCAAAACGTTATTTACTCGAGTATTTGTTTGTTTACTTCTCTATTTATTTGTTTATAAATTAGCTATGCCTCCTCAGAGTCCTAAAAGGGAATATAAGTCACATTATTCAACCATGTAACGCGGCCGAAATAATGAAACTTTAAACCAGAACTTTATTAAGATAATTTGACCGCCCTCTGCCCTAATGTTTGGTCCCACACGGATTTTTTTGACTATGCAAAAGTAACAATGCAAATAGTGCTTCACGCAACCTTTTGCTAGCCAACAATCCGCTTCGATACCTCGCTATTCACGGCTTAACCTTGTACTTTTTCATCGTCTCACTTTGGTAGGCCACACACACAGCCGCTGCGGAGAGGTTCAAGTTAGATATAAAGAAATGGTCGGGGATTGAGTAACTGCGAAGCAAAACCACCTCGTCATAGAACTTTTACTTTACTCTTCAACTTTCATTGTTAGATTTCATTATTTGATCTTTGAACCCTCAAATTAGCTGCCTTACGTCAGCTACAAAATCTAGTACCTATTAAAAAAATTTGATCTACGGCTATCCTAGGCGTGTGCAGATATGACAAGAAATCACGAGCAGAACATGAAATTGATACGTTCCCATTCTCATGATATAGAAAAAAATAGAAAAAAATAGAAAAATGAAAATAGCTCCTTGCTTTCTAAGATTTTTTGATCGACCGTCAGGGCTGCTTCTTGCTTTTGATTATCTTAAGATAGCAAGTAGCGATCCAATAAAAAAAGCACTCGGTTTTTTTTCGCAGATTTCCCGTTTCTTCTTCAAAGTAAATGGACAACCGCGTACAGCTAAACGGTTATAAATGCATTCTGTCGATGAATAATTCTGGCTGCATAATTATGTTGCTTGTGCCGTATTACGGTATCTGAAGGTCTTTATTTCTTCAAAAAGATTTTTCCAAGAAAACCATGGTTACGAACTTTTTTTTTGTAAATGTAAAGTTAAACTTACTGAGCAGAACGCTAGTTCTCAATAACTGCCAAGCATGATGGTTTTTCGGACAGTGGCAAAATGTACATGCACAGTATGTATAACTTACGTGGATTGATAGAATGCCCTATTTTCTGTATATTTGAAAAGAGAATATTGCCAAATCGCGTGAAGTATGCTCGGCCTTCAATAGAACATTCGCGATGATGCTTCTCTTATTCTCTCACTATTTTTCTTCAATCCCTTTCTAAGCATATGTTTTCATTTCTCTTTCAAGGAAGCTCTCATCTTCAAAATTAAATTTGTTAAATCTTTGAGCCTGCTAATCCTCTAACTTTGCTTTTGAACCTCGTATTTGTTTCAAATTCGTGTTCCCTAGCAGATCTGCAAAGTAACTAGATCAATCTTGATTTTGAATACTTCCTGATTGCTTAGACTCCTCACAGAGTCTAGGCCTCGGTATACTTCACACGACTTCAGTCGCGACGCGATTTGGCAATAATCCAACTGTCCAAAACTCATTGTAAGCACATTTTAAATATACAGAGTATGGAGTATTTTATTAATCCACGTAAGTTATACACATTATGCATGTACAATTTGCTACTGTTGGTTCTGAGGCTTCTGACGGATTGCCGAATCGCTTCGCGACCGAAATCGCGTGAAGTATGCCCGGCAAAGTGAAAAATTAGTTTGTTTTCCTAGGCCCTTTTTCATGCAACTTTTTTCTATTACATTTACTTTCCAAAAATTCGGTTATTAAACAGTTTTCATTTCCGTTCTGAAAGTGGCTTAGACACAAACTTTTCACCAGCCGTAAATCCTAGCTATTCCATTCATTTTGGCAAGTGCTTGCACGCGAATATGCACACTCTTCAGAAAAATTGCTGTATATAATGGATATTATTATTCATTGCAGCCCATTCATATTTTGAACTTACTCTAGTCAAACTGAAAAATCGACGCCTCAAAGTGCGTAATCGGGCATTTTATGAATCAGAGTTTTTACCAAAAAAGGCAGTCGCCAAAATTCATTCAGTTCTGCAAGCGTGAGAGTAAACAATAATGCAACTCTTCCGTTTAAACAAGCATAAAGCACCGAAACGAACTGTGTGGCTTCGAAACTTGATTTGTGGGGCCGAGAAATTGCCGGATTTATCCAGTCGAGATAATTGCTTCTGTTATTGCGTGAATAGCCAAAACGAGGAAAAATTTTATTGACGAAAGATGCCTGCCGAACAAGCCAACGGAGCAGAGATTCACTGGAAATAGACCTATTCCTAAAATTTATTGGCTTTAAAATTCATTTGCATTGGCTTGATTCGATATAAGCATCATATCTATCCGAAAGTCACCAAAATGTGTCGATTTCTTTTTCAAAAAACCAAATTATTATCCCTGTGCTCTGTTACAAAATTTGTACATTGCTCTGGCCATCCTACAACATTTAGGATCGTCCAATGCTTTCGTTTTCACTCACTTTCATGTAAACGCGTTGAACTATTTATCAACTATTCTATGACTAGGGGATGCGAAACCGCATTGCGGACATTGTCTTAACAAGTTTGAGTTTGTTCTTCACTATTTTCAAAGAGTGGTTAAACCTGGACGAGATAAATAGCAAGTATAAACCTGCTAAGCACATGATTAGGCTTGTTTAGACAATATGTGTGCAACGCGGTCTCGAGTCTACTAGTCATGGAATGAATAAAACATTGTTTCTCAAACTGCTTCCAAATCATTACAATACTTTGAGATTAAACCCTTTTTTTCTCGACAGTAAGTAATGATTTCGGATTTTTTCCCTGGTAAAGGATATATAAATATATGGGGTGAGAAAGGTTTGGGGAATGTGTTTTTGGAGATGATTACGCCTTCTGATTCAAGAAGAAAACCATTGCCGCTAAGTATCCCTATGAAGAAAATGCTCAACGTTTTTTTCCTTATTCTAAATTCTAGATTTTATGCTCAAGAGTGGTGACAAGTGCTTTTATAAAGAACACGTTCTCGAAATCGTCTCTTATGACCCTTCAACTTTTTTATTCTTTTAGTTGATTGCCCATTTCTTATAGCACTGTCATGGTCAGTGCGAAAATACATTCGCATGTTTGTTCCATCCTCTTACAAATTTTTATTCATGGACTACGATCCGAAAGATTTCGTGAGATTACAGTGACGTTACCGTAATCCTACAGTATAATTATGCCTGCAAGTCAAAAGCAAGTCTAACAAAATTAACAAGTGCCAAAATTTTGAGTAATAAGTACTTGATCAAAATTTTACTATATTTTTAGTATTGCTGGATCTTAGCTGGGTAGACTGCTGAGCTCCGGTTGCATTTTAATTTATTCTATTTCTTTCTATCTTATTTTATATCCCGATTCCATTAGATTCCAATAGACCAAACGTGGCGATATGTGTAAATAGGATACGGAAGTGTTTGCATGGTCCACTTTATTGTCACGATGAGTTGAGTCCCAATTTCCGAATTTGGGAGCGACTAGAGAGCGTGCGGGAAAGCAACGGGAAGTATTTTCTATCTTTGAATAGGGCTTTTAATAGCTGTAATAAAAAAGATGTTTCTAAAAGTGCAGATTTTTTTGCCCGTATTCGACTTTCTAATGCATTTTTTCTTTTATTTCGGTGAAAGGAAGTTTTTAAAAGCCCCGCTATATTTGCATATGCGCGATTTTTTTCAGCGCCTGCATTTCTTTCAACTTTCTAATGCATTTTTTTTCAATTAGTAAAAGTGCGGCGAAAAAATTTTTTTTGCACGAGAACTGGTCCCCTCAGGGACTACCGGGACTACCTGGGTAACCTTCCTAATACTCACTGGTGACCTTACTCTAAGAAGAGAATGCACTTAACGTTAATGTGTCGACGCATTCACCTCCGAGAGCTGAGTGCAATAGGGCATAACACCACCTTACGGTGCGGATTTGCATTTGAAAGCGAGATTCGATGCTCTCAGAATGGCGCGCTAGTGCTAGCGACACACAGTAATGACCAGTAATGACCTTGTAAGGACATCAATAAGAGTTTTGCGAGAAGAATAGCCCCCAACCTAGGCGAGCGAGCGAGCGAGAGACTTCTATACATATGGCTGGCTCTAGCGATTGCGAATGCGTGATTTTGTCCTTCAACTATTAGGTCGATGACAATGACCACTGCCCAGTAAGTCTTCGCCTAACCAAGGTAAACGTCGAAAGGTAGTGGTAAAGAGATTGGTAAGGTAGATTGGTAAGGTAACTTCTTAGACTTAGGAACTCTAATACGCCTCTATACGATTGTTCATCCACCTGACCTTGTGATGCTAAATCACTATCAGATACATGATTGCTCATTTAACCTCGAGTCATTTGTAACTATGTATGTGAGATTGCACACTAAGCCCTATATTTATGTGAAATTGCACACTGAGCCCTATAAACGACGGCATCCATACTAGCAACTTCCCAGTAAAACATTTTCTAACCTAACAAAATGCAGAAATGTGTTCTACTGACCAACAACTAAAACAAAATAAACAAGGAAACAAGGAGAAATTACTGGAAATGAGTAGGCTAGTTTCGCAGCTGTCAGTTAGCATGGATAAGGTGCAATACGCATATTAAGTTACAAATGACTCGACGATATTTTGATACACATGTGAAACGGTAATTTCTTCGCTGTCTTGTAAAGATTATTGCGAGATTGAATCAATACGTAGCATTTGTAGCAAATATAAACACATAACAATTCATATTTTCTACTTAATTGTTTTTTTTTCGATAAATCTGAAAAACAGAGATCGTGCAGATTTTATTCAGACAAAAATAATTGTTGGCAAATCGAGCGTCTCTAGGCACAGTTATTTTCTTCAAATCCATGATGCTTTTATTTCGATATAATAAAATAAGTTCATAATATCAATCAGAATACTATATTTTTCAAAGAGTTAATTGCGTAACTCGTTTAGTTTCACACCTTTTTTGCTAAGTGTTTCCATACCTTTGGTACAGGACTTATATATCAAGCACTGATGTCCCAAGGATTTCCGATGGAGGGGGGGGGGGGTGGGGGGGAGGAGAATTTTATCGAATGAAAGTGCTGCATTACCTATGCACCCAGAATTTTTGGAATCTCAAAATCTTCGCAGGTCCATAGCCTTCAATAAAAGTGGTCAAGTTTCACCACTTTTGGTTTTTAGTGTTCAAGTTTTACCACTTATGGTTTTGAGAGGTTCAAAAAAATTTCAAGTTATTCGCAAGTGTAAATACTTCACATGCACATTTTCAACTCGTGTAAGTACTTTCGAATGTTTCGTGACCTACTCTAGGGGTGGGGAGGGGGGAGGGGGGGGGGGGGAAGGGGGGGGGGGAGGCTCGATACGCCGTCGGTTATTACAACCTAGTATTTTTGAAACAATGTGGAATAGTCTTCTTTAATGAATGCCATTGTTTCATACAAAAACCAAAAATCTTTAAGCTTGAATGGCGTTTTAGGGAAATTCTCTAGAGCTAGATCTTCCAACAAGTTAAAATCAAAGATAAAAGCAGTTCACTGTATCCGTAAGCGCTCCGCAAGCAGATCTTCGGTAGATATTTCGATTCTAATAACTTTAATATCAAACTCCGGAGTAATCTCTGTCAGGTCATTTTATTGAGACAAAAATCATTGTTGGCAAGAGTTTCTATATTGGTGCAGGACTTATATATCAACCAATATTATTAAGATTTAAGAAAAGAAGAATCTCACATCGACTGAGTATTAGAAAAACATTATTTTGGTATGTCAACCCATACCTCCTTTCGCCATCACATTTCTGCCATATATCAAAAGCTTTTGCAATTTTGGTGTAGTTTTTAAACTGGAAATTTTCATGCAGAGTAAAACCACACCCAAGATTTTGCAGCCGTTCTTCTAGATACCTTGAAAATTTCCACCATTATAATATTATGGCTGGGTAAAAAGGTTAACAAAGATAATACAAATGAAGAAAGAAATAATTTTTTTCAAGCTTTTAAGATGACTATGACCTGCCACGTATGAACAAAATAAAAATTTCCAGATTTGCGGTTTGCCAACCAGAGGCTCTGCGAAATCATCGTCACAATTCGACAACTCCGTAGTCGGTGAGGTTTTTCATTGGATAAATAAGCTAATCGATCGATTATTGATCCACAAATCCGAGATTTCAATGAATCCAATATTTGCTATACTCAGGAACGCCGGTGATCTCATGTGAGCGTGATCGTATACGTGTGGAAATTGCAACAACTCGTCCATTTGCCGGAAAAATTTTTGTCAAAGGAGAATATGCGAACAAAGATTGTGTTCGATACTACGCCAATGGCTCACCAGTAGCAGCTCAGCAAGGTTCAGAGTTTTATTTTTACAAACCCGTAAATTTTTAATAATTGATTTTCAGAGTCATCAGAAACAACGATGGGAGCGCCAACAATAACGGATAACAGTGGGGCAAATATAGAAAATGCGGAAAGTAAGGGTAATTAGTTTAGAGAATTGATGACACTTAGCGAGTGCTTCGTCAATTTTCTCATTGGTCAGCGGAATTTCTTAATTCTATGAAAAAACCGTTCTTCTTCCTTCAAACTTATATAAATAAATCTTCTCGAAAATTGATCCCTACTATTTCTTCATCATTCTCATTAATCAGCAGAATTCACTGTTTTTAAAAAATTTTCTATTGCGAGCTAATGGAATTTTGGGTAAATTTTGTTGTTTTTTATCCCTTCTATGGCCGTTTCCATTTGAAGTCCATATTTTTCGCCATTTACCACTGAATCAAAGAAACAGAACATTTGTTTCCGCTGTGTTTTTTTTTCAAATAATAGTTTTCTAATTTTCTCATCCAAAAATCGATAAAATCATTAAACAATGCTCCAAAAGCCCATTCGTTGATTCTTTTATCAACTTAACAATAGTTATGTCAATAGTCATTCTTCACAGTTTTATTAATTTTCTTCATCCATTATCATTCCTTCGCTCAACCCCTTAGCATAATATTTATTTCTTTAAATTTATTCATTAATTCGATCAATTATGCACTCGTACATTCGCTCATTCTCCATTCTTCACTCATTCATCCATTCATTCTTCATTCATCATCATTCATACATTCATTCATTCATTCATTCATTCATTCATTCAATTATTCCTTTCTACATCTGAGACATTTCAGATGACGAAGCACCACTGGACAGCTCTCTTTGGGTAGGAAACGAAGAAAATGTGGAGGAAGCAGCCCTGCCACTCCCTCGTCCTGAACAAGCTTATCGATTTACTAATGGCGATGAAGTGCTCACCAAAATAGCACAAAATCAAAAAAACGTTGATGAAAAAATTCCCATCGTAAAAGTGACCGATCTGACTGGTAAAGAAGGCAGTACCAGCTTTATCAGCTCATCGAAATGGTCGGGCCACGGCGGTGCCAGTTCGACAAGCCTTAAACCCGGTTCACCGTATCTTGGCGCGTTTGGTGGGTCCCACGGTGAATCCACAACCATCAAGTCGGAAGCGGAAAGAACAACGCAAGGATCAGTTTCCAAATCGGAAACTTTGACTCAAAGATCGAGTTCTACCACATCACATTTGAAAATCTACCAAAAATTGAAAGCTGACAAGGATGGTCAGTTAAAACTGGAGTATCCTGGACCACAAGGTTTCCTAGCGGAAAACTGTCCAGTGACGTGTGCACCTTGTGTATGTCCATCGACTGATGGTCCCCAAGAGAGGAGAAGACGCAACACAAACACTGTGGAGTTATCTGTTCCACTGGGAGCATGCAATGCAAAGAGGGACCGCAAGGTGAGCCATATTTTTTTCTGTCTTTTCCACAAATCCTCTAAATACCGTGTATCTCAAGATGCTTTGAATCACATGAAAATCAAAAAAATTTGATAATGACAGAAAAAAGCACCATCAAATTCTACGATGCTCTATCTTCTTTCTTTCAAAATTCGAATCAAGAGTGAAAAATATACAAAAAAAACGTATCTTCGTTTTTATACCAAACCGGCGCAACCAGTACATGCTTCGCGTCCTTTGAGGTGACGCGGCGGCGACGCCTATGAGTCGCGAAGATATCAACAAAAACCAATTCGCAGACAATCAAAAACTCTCAATCGCAAACTAACCACTGTTTGCGTTGGTTTTATCAAGCTAATAATATTTCAACGTTTTTGTCAGATATTTTCTTGATTAGCTCAATCCTCCATGAATACACTGTTAGAGGGTGCACACCATTTGAAGTCGGTCTCAAAAAGAATAGGCCAAAGCATGCGATACACGCCCATATCTTATCCGCCTAAGATCAAAGTGAGGATCGCAGACGTGGTCGTGCAACGGGAATAGGCACGTACCGTTACGAAGCAGACGCGCATCATTAGGACACCACTTGTCCGTTGTCCGCATTTCTCGAAAAGTTGCGCTTTCCGTCCGTAAACGTTCCTATAAACTTCATAATTTCTCCGTGAACTTAGTGTTGATCACACTTGTATAATGGAAAGTTGTTTCTTAATTTGCTGAGTGACCTTCAACTCCGCGGTAGCAATACGTGATAGTTCAATCAGGTTTTTGAGGGTATATGCAAACAATATAAGAAACCTTTACTAAGACTAAAGGTCAGCCGAGGTATATGATGAAATAGTGGGAGCATTTAGTATATCTGTCTATATATAAAGAATCGTAAGCGCCATTTGAAAAAGTTGGAATTGCGGGAAATCGGGCGGTCCTGCAGCGAAGGCGCATGCAAATCTAGTACCTTTACAATTGCTTCATAGTAATTATTTTGAAGATATATTCACAACAACTTTGGGTCTGTTTTTGTCTGTTCCATATTATTAGCTCCAATTCAATAGTGGATGCTTAAAAAGTCAGTTATTTACAAAACTGTTTGTAGTAAAAGAAGTAGAAGGATTAGCTATTGTTATGCCAAAATCATTTTCCAGCTCTCCCCGCCATCGCTTGTGGTCTCCTTCGTTGCTGTGATCTCATTTCATGAGTCTTTCATCACAAAACTAGATCGTGCCTATCACATTCAATGTGCCTATACTGAATCCAATCGTAGCATCAGCACTCAGATAGATGTGGGGTACGGTAACTACAGTAACCTTTTGATTACCATACTCATCCCTGCCAATTTTAGCATGGAAGCGCCGACGGATTTGAACAATACGGTATCGCCACCAATATGTGCATACAATATCGCAGGCATTGATGGAAAAGCAATACAAAACGTACGAGTTGGCGATCGAGTGAAACATGAGTGGACATGCAAAACATCGGTGCCAAGTGAGTTCGAAGTTAGAACAGATCGATAAAAACAATCTATGAGTTAGCTAATCAATAAATTTCTTGTATACCAATCTTGGCCGCCGTTCAACACTCATAAGATAATCTGTGAGTTTTTTTGAGTTGATTTGCAACATTATAGTATTTATCATGCAATCGAGACTAGGATATAAGCTAATGCCGAAGGAAGGCACAAAATGTAAGGGCGCATCGCAGTTTCATTAGCCTTAGAGCACATGAGCAGATTTTACGGTGAAGATACGCGCTGCGTTCGCTCCGCTTAACTGAAACTGTTTCTGCACCTTGGTCCGGCGGTGGGCTTTACTCGAGAACGCTTTGCATACGTCTGATCAAAAAGCATAGCTGTGCTAACGCGTTTTGGATAATTTCACACTTGGAACTTGTGAAAAAACATGATCGAGCTTGTTAAACCTGTGCAACAACGTTTTCAAGTAGCCTGATCTCAAAGTAAATTGTGTCTTTTTTAACCCATTGACCACGATGTGGACACCGGTGGCCCACCTCTTGCGGGGGCGTATCATTTCCAGGTCTAGAATTTTTCCCGATTTCTTGTACTCGGGTAGTCCACAGGGCTCTTGGGAGCTGTAGACTCCGTCGTTTAGGAGAACGCATGCGGATGCTTACAAAACTATTCTATTATCTCGTAAATGATCACAGAATTAACAACCACGAAGGCGTTGTGCAATATCGCGTCGTCTCACAGCGCCGCCATGCAAATTCGGGCGTCGTCGTCAATGGGCTAAAACTGGGAACCCAGAGTTTTCACAAGACCTTATACCTTATTAAACCCCATTAACTTCATCCCGGAAAATGTGCAATTGCACATACCCTTTGTTTCATTGGAGATGGCGGCTGGGGGGCGGGGCTTCTATCGATTAGAGAGTACGTAAGCGTGGGAAAGCAGCCTCTGCATCTCTCTACGTGCTCTCTAGTTGACCGAAGCCCCGCCCTCCAGCTGCCAACTCCAGCGGAACAATGTGTACTACCAAGGCAAGCTAATTCACCGTATATGTGCGTGTTTCTTGGAAATGTAAAATCTTTCATACTAATTTCATCAAGGATATGTTAACGGATTCACGGTATCCGTAAATTTTCTATGGTGCAATTGCACCAAATGACCAGAACCTGACAGCAGGTGCTAAAACCTGGTTTTTTTCTAAACGATCCAGTAATCTAGCTAATAATTCAGTTATTTTACATGTGATTTTCCCAGATGTCTACACTATGTTGGTTCACTCTTGCTTTGTTGAAGATGGTGCCGGACAGCGATATGAAGTGGTCGACGAGAATGGGTAAAATTTCAATTAGAATACATAGATGTCAATTGTGGGTCCTAAAGCGAAATGCTACTTTCTCTGGGCAGTATATGAAATGCTATGTTGGTGAAGGACTATAAATCGCCGAAAGAGGGGTTTCGCTCGGACATCTGTAACAACTACGCGCCTTGCATGTGCCGGAGGTGCAAATTTGTTATAGCTGTCCGGGCGCGGCCTCCCCTTTCAGCGACATATAATCGTCCATTATTCCGTATCTCTAGTTCAGTTTCCTTAAAGGCAGCGTCCAGGCAGATCCGAGCTCGACGACCACGCCCACTTCTTTCGGACGGCCAACCCCTTATGAACGAAATCTCCCCAGCCTTGACGTGTTTTCACATGACCAACACAGTCGAACTTACAGCGTTTACCTGTTAATACTTGCTTTCGACAAGGATAGCATCAGAAGCACTCGTCCGGGTTTTCCCAAAATAGCCCCAAAAGGTTGTTTTCTGAGAAACTCACGCTTTTTGAGTTCCATATTCGGAATCAGCGCCATGGAAAGGCCTGGATAATATAAAAAGATAGAGGCCGAGAATCTGCCTGGACGCTGCCTTCAAGTTTAGTTTGATTCTGTACAACATCCCATTTATTTCTTCCGTCCATTCATCAAGAAAAGCAATAAAATGCCATCCAACTTCAAATTTCCCATTAAAAGCGATGATGAATGGTCATTTGCAGGTGTTCTCTAGATCGTTATATACTCAACACTCCATCCTATAGCAGTGACGGACTGACAGCTAATGTCGACGCATTTATGATGAAATTTCCGGACAGGTAAATTTTCTAATATCATTTTTTTGCGACAATAGAAAAAGTTTCAGATCTTCCGTGGACTTCCAATGTGCCATCAAGATTTGTTCGAAACTTGATGGAAATTGCACTTTGACCGTGAGTGAAGGCCTCTTATGATTTTTTGCGTAAATTCTTTGCAAATCGAAAATAAGCAGTGAATTCTACGTTTTTGTCATGCCCAACCTGAATCTCGGTCATAGCAATCACGGCAAATCTTCGCACAATGACCTATGAAAAGGAAAGGAGTTTTTGCCGTGGCGTCACGTTGTCCGCAATTGCAGACTTGTCACAACTTAATTTGATTTATGAGATTCTCGTTCGTATTTTTTAGCCTCCCGATTGTTCGACGAAACATACGAATCAACGAAGGCGACGTGATACCAACGCAATGGATGGGGAATCTATGACGATACATTCGAATTCGTTAACTGTTCTCGATGCGGACATAGCTCAAGGTATCGACGAAAACCGGTCTTCTAAATTACTCAAAAAAAAGAAAACAATATTCCTTGCGAAATACCGTCGAAGTTCTTGTCACAACTGAATTTGGTGACCAAAATGCATTAACAGATTTATGTGCCTACATCTGTCATAACGAAAACTGGTCCCCAAAAATGAAGCGAAGGTCCCAAGCAACTAATTAACTATCAAAATGGTCGCACATGTAGCCCTCTTCAAACAGACACTCAGCTGTGTCCTCAGATCTACCATCGGGATATAAAAAGCGCGGGGACCAGTTCTCGCATATTGAGTTCAGTCATCGTGCGGATCCCTACGGACCAGTGGCGGTTCGAAAGTTTATTCTCGTTAGAGGAGACAAAAAATTTTACAAAAGAAGGGCATAGCGACAGCCCTGGATTTTTTTCTCAGGATGCCTTCCAAACCTTTGAGAAAAAATCGTAACGGCAGCTCGAACCCGAGAAACTTTTTCTAAGGCTTATTTGAATTTTCGAAAAATTTGAAGAATTATTCCGATTGTTTACAAGTGAAAGGGAGTATTTGCACTCTTTCACAACTCATTTGAGCCACTTCTGAAAGATTACGACTAACCATTCTCGGGTAAAGTCCACCCCCCCCCCCCTTCCTTACGGTACCACTGTCGCGTTTCTTTATTGACAGTGAATCTGAAAATTTTCGAATTTTTCTGGTAAACAACAATTACAGTAGTATAAGTATAAGTATAAGTAGCTTCCCAATTGAATCTGAGTAAAAAAGAAGCTTTTGCCAGTAGGCTATCGTAATCCAACTTGAATCATAATTGGACCTCTAAGTAGTGTCAGGCAAATCTATTATGTTGTAACATAAGTCCTGAGACACTCTATTTACTTACGGCGATAAGTCATGCAGTTCACGTTTTCAATAGGGGTTCCAAGGCACCTTTCGATAGAGCAAAGCAAGCTCTACAAGATGGTCTGCAAAAGTTTGCCCAACTTCTACCCACTCTAAGTTTGCATCCAAAATGTGAGTCGTTCTGAAGGCTCAGAAAAAAAAATCTTCATTCAAAAAAACCTACGAATTTCTAACCTGCTCATGAAAATTGCACACTACATGAGACACGCATATGTACCGTTCCTGGGTTTTTTCCTTATTTGGAAGTCGAAAAAACGAAATTTTTTAAGTTTCTACAAAAACGTAGCTGAGCTGTTTCCACTTATGTAATTGTATACTACAACCTCTTAGAGGCATGACTGTAAATTTTCAGCTTTCCACTAGCTCACTGATTTTAGCATGAAACAGCCGAGTGAGGGAACTAAATTCAATATTTCTTGGAAACTAGGACCTATGGAAAACTGAAAATCTATAGTTCTACCCCTAAGGGCTGGAGTATACAATTACATGAGTGAAAGCAACATAGCTTCGTACTTTTAGAAATATGAAAATTTTCGTTTTCTCGATTTCTAAATGAGGAAAAAATCCAAGAACGGTATTTATGAGTGTCTGATTATGTGCGATTTCTGTGAGCAAGTTGGAAATTCGTAGGATTTTTTTGAACAAAGATATGAATTTTTCGCAATTTTTTGACTTTTAGTACGACTCATGTTTTGGATGCATACTTGAAGTGGGAAGAAGTTGAAGCGAATTGCAAATCATCTTGTAGAGCTTGCTTTGCCCTATCGAAAGGTGCCCTGTACCCCTATTGAAAATGTGAGCTGCATGACTTATCGCCGTAAGATGGAGTGCCTCAAGACTTATGTTACAACCTAATAGGTGCCTGACTTTGCTTGTATATATTCTGAATGGGATACCTCAGACATTGCCCGCATGGGCGATTTGTAAACCCACAAAATTATCTGATGTAAACTTCAACGAATTTTCTCATATTTAGAAATTCCCGAACAACTCGCATACACCTCGGACCCGGAAATGCTGCCACCCGAATTCTGTTTCTCAGTGGCCGGTTTTGGAATTCTCGTCTCAGCATCAACTTTTCTTACAACGGTAGCCGTCGGCGTTGCGGTGGCAAATCTCTATATGAGATCTCAACAACGATTTTGACCTGTGTGCTCGCATTATATCAGCTCGCATTATTTCAACTATATTTCTGAGATCATCTATTCATTGAGCAAATTAAGAATCTCTACAACGAATGTTTTCTTTCATTCAAAGCGCTGTTTACTCAAACGCTTTGAAAAAATTCTTTAAGTGATTACTGTATCTCCGTTTACGGATCACTCAATGCCCGATTGAAGTATTTACATTGCACTTGTATGTTGAATTTGTAATGTTTTTTTCTCAAATTTGTCTACATATACAACTGTGATTTTCCATTATTTGCCTTTTCGCCGGGTACTCTATTGACATTATGTACATTAACGCAAATAAAATATTTACATTGTTTTAAACCTCTTGAATGAAGAATTTAGTCAACAATCTTGAACAATGAGATGTCGAGTTTAAAACAAAACAAGTGATGAGACGGAGATGGATGACCTCTCAAGAAAAATATGCTTTGATAAAAAGGGCACCACAAAGTCGTTGTAGAGCACGATGTGTGACAAACTATGCTCGGACAAACCACAGGAACTTCCGCAATACAAAAACGATTTGAACGGTTCTACAGGATTATGTTTCCTATCACTTTGAGCTCGAAGCCCGAATTTCCGCGGGAATTTAAGGCCAGCTTGTTTGAAAGGGCAGCACTTTTCAAAAGAGATGAGGCTTGTTTCCTAGATGTCCAGCGGAACTTCCGGTCAGTTGTCTGACAATGAGCGAGTAATACCCTTAGCAGGCTGAAAAGGCTAAGTAGTATCTGTTGCCGACTACCGTAACCTAAGGTAAAACCGGTAACATGAAAATTCAATCTTTTTTTAACTGGGGACAAATTGATACAAGAAACTGGTGAGTAATCTTCTTTCTATAAAAAAACAACTTGACTGCAAAGCAAACCGTTTTTTTTGTTGTTGTTGGAAAAACTAAAATCTCATCTGACCGAAGGACGGGATTAAGATGAGTGCAAAACCTTTTTTTAAGACTACAAGAATTTCTGAATTTTTATCAGGCCATGTCAAAAAGAGCGTTGAATTCTACAATAAAAGCCATTGCAGAATCAACAACTTACTAGTGTCGGCACGAGCAAAATCACCAAAGCCTTTTTTCATGCGATGTTACCCATGGCAGTTTTGCCCCATATTGACATTCTCATTTTTCAGTTCATCTACAAAGAAAATCTCAGACTTCAAGCTTATTCAAAGAAGGATAATCTACAAGGGAATTTGCACTAAAAAATCGCACTTCTCACGTTTCTTATCTTCAGTTAAACGTCATCATTCTCACTATATGTGTTGGATCAACAGCTGGCGATGAAAACGGCGTGTTGTGATTCGTCATTCTCACCTCTGTATTGGTAAGTTTCGAAATTGTTAATGTTCCAGACTATGAATAAGACATCGCTGTATGAAAAAAGCTTACTCATCCCGAAAGCTCTACATTCTGCATAAAAGCCAATATAAAATCATTAAAATTATTAGTGTCGACACGAGCAAAGCACCAAAACCTTTTTTTCGTGCGATGTTACCCATGGCATTTTTGCCCATTTTTGTTGACATTTTCATTTTTTTCGGGATCAACAAATAACGGCGTTTTTTTTCACAATCACTGATACCCCACAGATTTTCCGTAGGGTTTGTGTTCAGTACCATTGTTTTTTTATGTTTGTCCTCGAGTTGACCGAGTAAGATAAACAAGTCCAAGCGATAAGCGGCCACAAATTGATTGTGCTGACGATTGTTGAGGGCTAGGGGGGTCGGTACTGTTCATATCAAAGTACTACCGCTCTCTCATGTAATATCTTTAGACCTTCTTCTTGCTTTAGATCTAACTCTACCATTAAAATCCAGTTTCGGCCAAAGAATCTTCATCACAAAACCTTTAGATCCTACCAACTGCCCCTGCAGCTTTTTCTCCCATTTAAACACACCACAAACCTTGTTGACATTTGTCTCCGGGCGCTGAATCACAATGCTTTTTTGCAAAGTTATCGATCAACGATCTTCCACTCACATGTTCAATAGATGCTGTTGCGATGAGCAAATTCGCCGTTCTTTTCTGAATTCTTTGAATATTCGATTTTCTAAATGTACACATACATTAGCAGTGACGAGATGTCAACGTTCACTAGCCTACGTGAACAGCTGGAACAATCCGATAATGTATTTCTAAAAATTCCACATATATTCAAACCATTTCAAGCAGTGAGTCAGCTTTTTTTTTGAAATTTTCCATTAAACGTTACTTTCACTTTCCAAATCTGTTGTCAGTGAATGATAGCAAGATTGACTGCAACAGTTATATTATTTTTTTGTCAGCTGCTAAAATTTCCTTGTTCTATAAATAAGAACCAACGGATTCCGCTTATAAACTGGGTAGGAGAACGAACTCGCAGTTTGAGCCGTCCTTCGCTGGCAACTGGTCCTTTTGCTATATCGTTGCATGTCGTTGCAGGACCAGTAGTCCGCGGAGGTGGTTCAAACTGGCGGAGTTCGTTCCTCCACCTTTATAAACTTTGATAATGGACAACAAATTGTAATCACATTGTTCAACTGAGTTTTTGTACATAAAAGGGAAGATTTTTAATTTCCAAAAACAGAAACAAAATTTGCACTTTTCCAGTATGTTTTTTGAAGGCCAAACACCGATTAAATGAATGCTTATCTCACTGGAGATTCATTCTCAGGAAAAAGTAATTTTTAACTAGCGTTGAATATTTTTTCTAAATAAAATTTCACCTAAAAGGAGAAAATTTTAAAGGTCAAGCTAATGTGACAAGTTAATTTCAACATTATACGCCAAAAAAAAATCCAAGCAAATAAAAAGTGGTTTTACCAAACTTGTTCAGTTAAATGCCATCATTCTCGCTATTTGTGTTGGATCAACAGCTGGCGATGAAAATGGCGTGTTGTGGTTCGTCATTCTCACTTCTTTATTGGTAAGTTTCGAAACTAGTCATGTCCCAGGCTATGAATAAGACATCGCGAGCTGTATAAAAAAGCTTACTCATCTCAATACATGACATCAAAGAGGTTGACCATATACGCCAGTAGCAAAACTTTTTCGGGAAGGGTTTCTCGTTAATGATTGGACTGGCGTTAGCCAAGTCCTCCAAAAAAAAGTTTGCAAAGAGCTTAAATCTGTGCGCCCAAACAATGAGCCTATCTGAACTGTTTCCTTATGGCATTTCGGGAAGCAAGGCTAGACGGCGTACCGAGGTGAGGAGGCCCCCCCCCCCCCGAGAATGGGTCGCAAAATTTTTGAAAGGTAAATACTTACATAAGTTATAAAAATGTGCAAGTGACTTTTTTATACTTGTAAGCAATTGAAATGATTTTTAGAATTTTCAATAATTCGTAGTCTTATAAAAAAATTTTTTCAAGGCGTGGCTGACGTCACGCCCCTTACTCCAAAATTTCGTGGTTTAAGGGCCAGCAAAATTTTGAGAAGCATACCAGAAAACCCCCGCCCACCCGAATGGAAATCCTGGGTACGCCACTGCGGCTAGACAAGAATGTGGGCATAGAAAGACCTTTCCAAAAAAACCATAGCTAAGGAAAACGTACAAAAATCCCAATTACAGATCTCAATCGCTGCTACGATACTCTTAGCTTTGGGACTGCAAGACTCTTTGATGGATAGTTTGACTAATTCGTCAGTGACATGGAATGTCGTAGTAAGTCATGTTTCCTCATTTGATCAGGTTTTGCTGTGCCCGTTATAGTTTTCTTGTGTTTTTAGGAGATGGTTTATTCTTTCGTATATGCAGTTCTAAGTATTATTTGTGTATGGCTATCATTTGGGTATGCAAATCGACATCTTGGAGGCACATCAGCCGGTTATATCGCAGCTGGGGTGAGCCTACAATGTATTCAAGTGAAAAGGCTCTATGGGTTTTTTGGTGCAAATCTGCATAATTTTTTCACCGTTCCGTAGTCATCGCATTCTCAGCTGGTATGAGCATTCCATGTTTCAATCGAAGGAGTTTTCATTCTGGAGACGACGTTAAACCGCCCGCCTGCGCGGACATCTGGTACAGATCATGCGCTTCCAGGCGCTGAAGTCTGTGCCAGTAGCCCGCGCAGGTGAACTCAGAGCCGATATTGCTCCTTTCCGTTATGCTTTGGCTTTTGCCAAAGTTATCCTTGCGTTGATACACTATTTTGCTTCTGTTCAGCTTTTCTCAATCGTCCACGCTGCTCTCTATGGAATCCCGTGCGCAATGATTTACGACTCCATACAAAAGAACGGTCTAGATAATCGCGAACAAGGATTTGCTGTACAACCTGCTCATGCATTCAACGATGCTCCTTACCAAGATCTTTGAACTGTGCATTCATATCATATTCCTCAGGACGAGAGCGATATTGGAAACATAAATATTGAGACAATACTTTTTTGAGCCATCTGAGTCAAAGGAATGCTATCTGTTCCCTAGAAACTTTGTCCAGCACTCAGTGCCTCGAAATTTACAGGAGTATCATAGGCCTTTTTATTCACACATTGAGTACCCGATGCTCGAAGAAAATTACACAATAAACCTGAGGATTAACAGATATGACAAAACCAATCTCATTTCCGCGCAAAGGCGTGATCTATCTATAATATGTATCTGATGCGCAACTGATACAACGACGAATTTATGCCCCAATTTCATATCTTGGTGGCATATGAAAGGCTAGAAATACACCAATTCCCTTAGATGATTTCAACTTCTTCTGTCAACTCCATGGTTTTCGCGCTTAGAGGCAGCTTCGAACATAATGTAACTAATAGGAGCTACGAGGAGCTCGAATACGCGCTAGCATGAAACAATCTCTTGGGACTAGCCAACGTAATGAAAGACGTACAATAAGAAGAAAATCTTATCTCCAGTCACTGATGTTGATCAACTGGAATAGCGTACAGCCGTTTCTTTCCCACATTTCGACGTCACCAAAAGCCCAGAAACAGAAATAGCGTGCCATCTGGTGATGGACTAAGCTCTGCAATACTTAGCTGACTAGTGGTCACAAAACATGGAGCGACACACCTTGATTACATCAGCAGGTAGCTCGTCAATCACATCATCACTATCCTTGAAATGCTTCTCTTCCAGGATCTTTTTAACCTAAAATACCATTACTACAGCAAAGAAAAAATATACGCATTTGTTAACAGAAGAATCTAGCACCATGTGAAAAGTAGGCTTGTAACAAACGCTTTGTCGATGAGCAATTATAATAAAAAATGAATATGGTAACTCACATGAACCAAACAGTTGTTGTAAAGATTCCATTTCATATGAATCAAGTCAAACATCATTTCGTATAAGCCACCATGAAAAGTACAAAAGCACAAAAGCTGGAAAAAGCTCTATATTGGAAGGAAGGAAAGTGGATAAAGATGAATAAAAAACTCCACCTTTGTAATCGACTGCTGGAAATCTGGGATTTCCAGTCTGTGGCTATATGAGCCGCCTTCGACAATTAAGTAATTCACATCATCATTGTTGTCAATGCTTTTCGGACATTCTGGCACCTAAATTAACCAGACATTACATAACTGTGGGTGAAAGGAAATTAAAAAAAGGCAAGTTGAAGAATGTAAGAAAGTACGCAAGAAACTCATCGTAAGGTTATATTTTGGTTACCTGGCATTGAGTGTAGTTGCCATTAATCCGCGAGACCAAAGCAGTAGCCGTTTTCCTCGGGACAAAAGCCTGAATTTAGCTGTCTGAGGGCAACTAGCTTCAAATCAGCAAAAGAATGGTAGTTTTCTCTGATCTTATACACATTGACGCTTGATTAGGACACATTAAATACTAAAATGCTAATGTATTACCTTTTGACAATTACTTCGAGCACATCGGATCTGCTCTGACGAAAAAGTCCCGACAGCTGCGAGCGATTGCACAAGCTCATCGTTCAATCGATCTATGAATCTGAATGCCTCTTCATTCGTCCGATCGAGTTCTGAAATCATTCGCTCATCAAATAATCTCATGCTCAAGAGCAAGAGTACGATGTAGATAGAAACGCAATGAGCGCACAAATAGTGAAATACTCACGACAATCTTCCACTCCTTCATTTTCACAGGCTCGAACTACCAATCCGAGTATATAACGTCGTAGCTTCTTGCGCAGATCCTTCTCCGTGTATACAGTGGACAGCCATGGATTGGCTTCTAGCTAGAATGAGAAAGCTTTGCCAATGAATTTCGCGCTTTAGTATGGTTTTGGATAGCTCTAAAAGCAACAGTCGCGATACCAAATAAGCTAATGAACAAGGAGAGCCTGAGATGATTATGAGCATATAAGGTGCTCATATCGTATTCATAAAAAAGCCTCACACCATAAGAGTCTCCTACTGATATTTTGTACAGTGGCAAGTAAGTACGGGGAAAATTTGACTTCGCAGATAGCAAACTCAATATTTTTTCGATTTAATACAAAAAATAACAAATCAGTGTTTCTGGGATGATGTGAAAACGGTAAGTTAAGGAAAAAACAGCGAGGAATTCAACAGAAAAACCCACCCCCTTAGCGACTTTATTGAGTAGATAGCGACGGAGAGCATGACCCGGCCTCTTTTTCATCCCAATGAGTCGAAGTTTTGATAATCTCGCCTAAATCAACATAGCAGACCATTCATGTAAGTTCTAAGAACTTCCAAAAAAGTATAAGTAATGATACGAATCGAACGCGTACAAAAGCAATTCTCAAATGAAGAGAAGAAAGTAACTATGATAGGAGTGAAACCTTATCCAAAAGACTGAAATTATTTGTTCCCAACAGACCTCAATTTCTGCCGGATCGCGATCGTCATCGTCGTCAGCATCTACGGTATCAGGCTTGTCCAAGGTTTCATCAAAACTCGAATATGGATGCTGAAACCATCCAATCTGATACAAAAAGAGGAAAAATAGGTCTTAAAAAAACTTAAGCCAGAGAAACAACCGCTCAGTCTGAACAGACTTGCCTCATTAGCCCAGCTAGTACTGGGCTGCAAAGAAAGGTCCAGTCGTAACCGCTTTGATTCGGGTTCCTGTGAACTTCTATCATAAATTGGAACGTTGGAAAAAAGATCCTCATCTTCATCATAGAATCCCATCTGGAAAAAGCAAACCAACTTTCAAAAATTCTTGGAAAAGCTTAGACGCTCGCAACTATTCGATTCGTTGACAACTGAAAAGGTTTGATCGAGGATAACTAAGCTGGATATAAAAATTGCATCCGAAAAAATTCTGCTTTGGAGCGCGATAACTGTCGATCTATACAATCCGGATATTTCTTGTGCAGTCCTGCTCTTTACACTTTCTTCTTCGTCAGTTCCACACAAAAATAATAATATTCACCACCACATAAAACAAGAAATTTCTCAGGTCCTTCACCTTGCTAAAGCACTAAGTATGCCGCAAATGGTCACGGAATCCGAATGCCGACGACTCCTAAAAGTGGTGAGACACGCGCCATACTTGATCCGCTTGATCCGCTTCATCATTGGTCAATTCAGTGAACTAACCAATAGTAAGTGGATGAAGTGGATCAAGCAGATCAAGATCAAGCGGACAACCGCTTCGCTACTGATCAGCTCACTGAATCGACCAATGAGGAAGCGGATCAAGTATGGCGCCTGCCTAGGAGCGTTACGTGAAATTAACAAGATGCATTATTTATGTATTCAGGAGCTTCACGCACATCTCAATGGCAGCATGTCGCTAAAAACAATCAAGAAGTTGTACCGGATGCAGAAAGAAAGCAGCTTGAATCCAGCGAGTTTGGAAGCTGATCTTAAGCTGAAACAACCAAGCACCATGGAGGAGTGAGTTTGATAAAGGAACTCTACATTGTTTTCTTCTTGAATGCAGATAAACACACTAGGACGCTTTGACAGTGAACTTACTCTACATCAAATCAAAGTCAACTTCTGCAAATGTACCTTTTCAAATTGCGATTTTGGCACCCGCCATACTTGATCTTCTTGATCCGCTTGATCCTCTTCGTGCAAAACGGCGTCACTAATTTGACACTTGGCGTCGCTTACAGCGCATTTGCCCCGTAACCATACAAATCACTTTCCTTTTTAATCACTCAATACCTAACTACGCGGCGCCTATGACAAACTGCTGTGTGCGCGTTTTGCACGAAGCGGATCAAGTATGGCAAGTGCTTTTGTAGGCTAACAGAGGGCAGGTCACGCGTTAGTTTGGAGCTGTAAGACTTCCCATGGCATCGTAAGATTTTACGAAATTTCGTCGATACGCGGACTGCTCAAACGTTGCGGACCACGCGCAGCGCGGCTGGAATGTTGCGAGAGCACGACTTGTATAGTCGATTCGTTGAGTGCACGGACTGGAAGTCACCGCGGAGTACGCGCCGCGAGGTAAGACGCTTGCTCCAGTACAAATCCGTCATTGTACAAGTCATGTTCACGCAACATTTCAACTGCGGTCAACGAGTCGACGATACATACCATGGCGAATTTGTAGTGGGGTAAGCGTTTTACGTCGCGGCGCAGTGATGTCCAGTCCGTGCGGTTAACGAATCGATGGTAATTACCCTTTAACGTCAAATCCAGATAATCTTTGTTAGCAACACGAAAGCAAGGAAGCACATTTTGAGGTTTGTCGGGCAAAAAGCAAAAAAAATCATAATTTGAAATGCTGTTTTGGTTTAGTGTGTCTAAAACCAATAGGCCATTCAACCAAATCTGTATATAGCCTACAAATATCTGTGATGCTATTGTCGCTACATGCTCAAAAGACGCCTCGGCAGGCATGCACTTGGAGCGCCATAACTACCTATGCGTTTCTGTATACTATTGGTTAAAAAAAGTAGAGGCAAAGACTTGATTTATTCTTCATTATATGATAGGTTTTTGAGCGTTCTATTCGCTCAAATCAAAAAGGTCCAAAGCCTATGTCAAGTCTCCATTATTTATGCTCCCAACCAACCCAGTTGGTGTGGTGATGTTCAAGAACCAACAAATCTGGGGACAGGTGTCAGGATTACAAATATGAGTACACATAGCCAAATTCGGTGTCTGTGATTGGGTGGAGGAACGAACACCTCAATTAGGCACCGCCTCCGCGGACCACTGGTCCTAACACGATGCACAACAGCAGGACGAAAGGACCATGGTCCTTTGTATTTGGTTTGCCTCTGAAAAAACTGCCAATGTATACAGACCTTTCTGTCAAGATTTCTCAGCTAACACTTACTTTGCTCCTGCGCTTGTCAACTTTCAGCGGGTTGGCTTAACTGTCTGCAGGTATTCGTAGTGTCAACGCAAGCCATTACTGGCTCTTCCTCCATTAGGCTCATAGGTTTGCCCTGCATTGGTTTTCCACTTTCCGCCCATCTTTTCCATAATCGCAAACGGAATGGCTAGTACTTATGCAGCATATCGGCCTCTCTTTCCTTTTCTTCGACTACCGCAACATCACTGTCCCAGCTTGACAGAGTGTTGAGCGCGGCGCGGAGTCTATTTTCTTGCAACGTTGCTAGTGGTCGTTTCACCCGGCATTGTCCGAGTATTGTTATCGCTGTTTTTAGTGGTCTGTTATTTCTCCGGCCATTCATTTCGTTAGCGAGCTCCTTGTAGTATGCCCGCGGTTATTCCTCCATTGTTGTTCTTGACCCTTGCTGTTGTTGCCGTTGTTCATTCAGCAAGCGCTGTTGAGTCGCTCCATGCTCATCAGCGTTTCAGGCTCATCTCAAAAAGAAATCATTGAACTTCCACCTTGTCATTCTCAGGGCACACACATTCATATCTGTGCGCGTGTATTGATTCAACAGATTTACTCAGTGGTCTATAGGCACGGGATGAACTTGGACGGTTCAATGATGACTCTCTCCTGAGTACATCAGTAGATTTGCCCAACAGCTCCGCCTCATTTGCCACTCGGTCTTCATTTCAACATGCCGGTTACGCATATGCATCCGAAGTTCTGTAATTTCCCTCTTTGTTATCGTATTATTGGGCACCAGTGCGTCACCTCTGCTTCGCAGAGGTTCGCACTGGCTCTACTATCTATGTGCCTTACTCATTCTCGTAAAATCGTGGCACTGGAACTCACCGCGCTATGCCGATTACCACGAATAAAATGTAAACAACCACTCATTTTGAAAGTCTTTTCACGTGAGATCGGTGATTTCGAGTGGATGAAACTTTTCGCAGGAAGACAAACGCAAATTTGAATAGGTTTTTGGATTTGTCATGGCTTGGTAGTCGCCATAAAGGTAATGATAACCGTGAGCTACATCTCTGTGCGAAAATCTTCTCAAACGCTTGGCTAGAACCTTGGCAAGTTGACCATTTACACAACCAATTCATTTTGGCGCCGTTTTCGTTATGTAGTAAACTTTCGACCACTTTTCTGGCTAAACTCCATCGCTTGCACATTTGCTTACCAAACTCATCCACGACTCTGCAAAAAGTGGTGATACGGACCGAATTTTGCGGTACAGAAGCCAGGTGGACCCGTTTGGCGCGCAATTTTTAACGGATCCACTCGACGGATTTGCTCGCGCTTTTGTATATTGGACTTTCATGCTGCTAGCATGCGCCGTGCAAAATTTGGGCTCAGGAGGTTGGCTGGAACATGTTCTACGAATTTCGTAACGGACAGACACACAGACACACAAAAAGACGTAAACAACCCTTAGCCCGTTATTATAAGTCATGATATTGTCTGTATATTATCATACTGACTAGACAAGTTGTAAGGTTCACAGACCTTACATTATAACATCTTCGTAGCCTTTTTGAAGACACGTTATATCTAGCGTTTTGCTGGTAACACCTAAAATAACACTTGTTACAAAACAAATTACAAGTACTTTCTGGATTGGTCTTTTATGACAACTGGCTACATCAACGGCATTAGCCCCCTCACTGGCTATTAACACGTTTCGGACCGCGAAATCGCGCGCGGCAAAAAAGAGGGTACCCTCAGCCGTTAGCCAGCAAAGGGACCTTAATTCGTAGAATGTGTGCTACATCTGTAATCAGCTTGTCGGATAAGATCCATACCCAGAGTTCTGAGCGAATTCGAAGTGTTTGCATTTTGTCATCTGAGAAGCACTTCCGTGTTTTCTTGAAAGATAGGAACAAGATTTCAGTTTCCAATTGTATCCAAAAGTATCTATTTTGTAAACGATATACATTACTATTAGAACTAAGGTTTTTCCCTTCGTATTCAAAGCTAAGGAAAGTTGCGACGTCGCACGCGTCGTTCGCGTTGCCGCACTTCGTTGCAACTGCTGTTCGATTTGTGCTCATATCTCCTAAATAAATATCGGCTGCACAACTTTACAGAGTCATCAAAAGTAGAAGTTTAGGCCTTTTACTTGATAACCTTGGACAAAAAGAAAATTTCCTGTAAACGTTGAAAAGGTCCTTCGATGGCGCGTGCTGCACCATGTGCAGCACCGGTCCGAAACGTGTTAAAGCAGCAATTCGCCTGACTGGGCTTCAGTGCAGTCCTCTCCTTTTGGCATAGTTCCACTGGTTTCTCTTTGTATCTTTATCAACACTTGGAGTTCATCTCTGAAAAATCAACATATCCGTGGGTTTCTTGGTTTCACACTTAGTGACAAATTCACTCACGTAAATGTACACGTGAGTGCGGTTGTATATTCTCAGCGGACTTGCTCAGTCGTTATTTGTAGGCATGCAAAGAACTTGTGCAGATCGATAATGGGACGTGTCCAATCGTGACCATACTGCTCCAACTTGATTCTCGTTGCATGGCGCCTCACAACTAAACACTAGCGTGCAATGGCGATGTTACTCATTGTAGACTAGAGTCGTGTTCACAGCTTTCACCACAAGTGTACATTCATAGATAAGGCGTGAGCTACTGTAACTCTTTGTATCATATCTAACATAGATTTACTGCTCTTCAGTTTATCATGGACGGATACGTATCATAATTAAAAACAACGACAACAACAAATATCTATGATATCAGATCACTTTTCCAAGATCATTGCGTACAAATTTTACGGAATAAAACAAAACACAACAAAAGCGTATCACATTTTCTATTCTTTCTTCTTCTTTTTAGCCACCTCAGCGCCCTTAGACGCATCCACCTCTTTCTTCTTTTCCTCCACAATTGCCACATCGCTATCCGAACTGGACGTGGAGCTGCTGGATGAAGCTCGCGCTCTCTTGATCGGGGCACTGCTGGTGGTCGGAGCGTTAGGTGCACTTGGAGTGTTGCAGGCATCGGCTCTGGCAGCTAACTGCTTTTCCAGGTCTTTAATTTTATCGGCTAGACCTTTATAGGCCTTCTGCTGTTCCTCCGATACTGCCTTTGCTCGTGGTGGCTGCTGTTCATTCAGTAGGTTGATAAGCCTTTCTTTTCTTACCAGCACATTCGGTTCATCTCTAAAACACACACTTTCACATGTGTATATTTTCCAACCTGTACAGCAATGATAGACTTAGTCGACGGTCTGCAAGCATGAAAAGAATTTATAGAGGTCGATGCTGACCCTTTCTTCTGCGCGCCGATAGGTGGCCTGTCCGACGGCTCCGCCTCTTCTTCCACTTATTCTCAGTTTCAAAAATATGCTCACAACTAACCCTGCAATTCTTCTCTTTGAAATCATGTTAATGGACAAACGCACATATTGCCTATACGTTATCATATACAAGGCTGGATAGTTGTAAGGTTCAATAACCTTTGCTCAATTTACTCACAAACACTTATGTTCACATATTTATGTCCGCCATCTTAAAACAAAGAAAGAAAAGCACCAACGATTATAATAAGACATATTACAAGGCTACAAATTCATAACATTAGCACGCGTCAATTACTACAGCAGGTATAGCTTTGGCCATGCTAGTGGCGCCTCGCTGCCATACAGTATAGCAGATGACAGCTGCCATTTGGTACTGCATACCTTTCTGTAATTCATCGCTTTCATCTTCGCAAGTCTGAACGTTCTAAAGTGACCGGTCCAAAAATCACCTTCAATTCTCGCTTTCTATGCTTCGTTTGGCGTTCTGCCTAACATTCCCCTGGTGTTCTCCTTCAACTGCACACTTGTCAGCCGTGTTCTGGTTGATCGCTTCGCGTTGTGTTGCAATCTGCTATAATTATTAATATGTATTCCTTGCTGTGTCATGAATGGTAACATCCTCAGCTTTCCTTTATTTGAATCAAGCACATTAAACTGTGGTGACTAACCTTCTGCATTCGCTTCTATAGTTCAGACTATTGACCTCACATTGCTGGCTGGACAGGATGGCTAAGAGTTTCCTCTTATTCACCAGCACTTCTTTTCCCAGCACTCGTACACATCCGAAAAACGCATAGACGTTGACCCGGCAGTCAAAAGTAGCAAAAAAGCGAAAAGCAAGAAAGCAAAAAAACCTGGAATGATGCAATATGAGCTGAGATTTGAAATGCGTGTCGATATTGCGAAACTGCTCGCTGAGTCACTCATCATCTCCCGATTTCCTTTCGCGACCATCCGCAAAGACTGCCAAAATATTGTCTCGCGCATGTCTACGCCCTTTCCCGCGAATCCCTCAAAAAGGGGCGGATCTCCGGCGCGAGTCAACAGCGAGTGTCTGAGCAGCAGCCCGCGGAGACGATGCCTAATTGAGGCGTTCGATCCTCTACCCGCGCTCTTCGCAGGGCCCTATGTCCCAGTGCAAATCTCGGTTCCGCGCGGGAACCCTGGCGATTAAGCGCCGCACACCCTATAACTTTCAGCGCGCAACAAGTGACACTGTTGCAAAACCGGCTCCTTTCTGCAAAAGAATCATAAAAACAAGTGTAGATGTTAACATGCAGTGATCTACCTTTCGTATATTGCAATGATATCGTTATTCATCAAGGTTGTGCCCTCAGAACTTAGCACGGACACAAAAGCAATGATTTGTTTGTGCATAACCAGGGAGGCGTCTCCTATTGACAATTTTCCTCATATGGCAGCTATAAAATGTAGGAAGTTGCAGATTCAAGTGTTAAGAGGTAAGTATCATTCATTCTAAGTCTAGAGAACTGAAAACGCTTCCAGTTAACAAGCACTTTTGACATAGCTCATTTTTGATGATTCACCACTTGTACAAAACAAAGAGCATGTTTGGACAACTTGTAGATACAAAGCGAGTCTCCGAGTTCCCTATCTCATAATGGGTAGTAGATTGCGGATGAGCATTATAAGCGCATGCTCTTTGTTTTGTAAGGTAATGAATCATTAAAAATGAGCTATGTCAAAAGCGCAGATGGATTTTAGTAGCTTAAATGTTCGTGAAAACCACTGTGTCCATCAATGTCGGTAGGTAGTTTAGGTAGGCTTAGATACCTCCAGCTTAGGTTGGGCGTATCACGCTTCCACTTTACTACTTGTCTATCGATTTTCGTCACGTAATCTTCACTATATCAAAATGGGAGAATAAGTATACAAAGGCATAGATACGGTCTATGAGAAGTGTGTGATCAGACACTTCTTGCTTTCTTGGCCTTTACTCCTCATCTTCCTCAGGTAGCTATTGCGATGCACTAAAGATCAAACTGCTTTCCATGATGTCATAACTAAAAACTCTTTTTGTGCATGCAGGTATAATGAATTGAAGAGACTTTCTTCGCAATTCTTGATGATGTAGACCCAGCCTCTTCGAACTTTCATTTTTGTGACAGATGAAAGAAACCCTGAGTTGTTGGAATAGAGCGTCCACCTTTTAATGGTTGTCTCAAATTACCTCAGAACATGCACACTGTCAGTGTAAGAAACGAGATGTGGATCCTAAACTTCATATCGTAAGCACGAACAAAGTAACCAGATTTGCCTTCAAAAACACAAGCAGAAGTAAAAGCTAAGGGGACGGGCGTATACAAAACTTTTCAACCTTCACCATCAAGAAAAGGAGTCATGCAGCACAAAAGCTTGCTAGTAGAAAAAGGTCGTACAAGAAAGTTCATACAAAAAGTTTCACAAAAAAGATCAATCATGGATAACCTTTTGCCTTTCATCGTCAACTTGTTGTCGCTGGTATAACGACATCCTCAGCACCAACTCATTCCATGAGATTGATAAGCTGTCATCAATCAAATCTTCACTGGTTAGCCTGTGTATGCTCAAGCTGTAGACATCTATGCCTGACTTGCACGCTCCGAAAACAAACGCCTGCGCGCCGGTCAAATTTGCATTGGGTCATGGGGCGCGTTCTTCGCAGCCATTTGTAAGTATAGGTACGAGTGTAAACAAGCCATTCCTTTATTTGAACATCGTTTTGAATTTGGCGCGCTTGATGGAAAAAACACGAAGAGCATGTCATTCATGTACCAACATGAATAACTATAGGCCGTCCGCTCAGGACGCGGAGAGTGCAGGGTGTGCACATAGGGCCCGGCACAGATGGTCTGGGGTTAAACTGGACTTCGTTTTTGAAGTTAGAAGCAACGGGGATATCGTTTTTATAACGTCCTGGGGAAAGCGCCCGAAAAAAATACGACGAGCATGTCAGGTGTTACGAGTTGAACGTGTTCTTTCGCGAGCGCGCGAATTTCAAAAGCAAGACTTAAACAAACAAATGGCTTACAGCGCACAAACATGAAGAGAGCGAATCAAACCATTGCCCCTCCTCTTTTTTGAGCCAAAAGTAGTGTAAATCGTTGAGATATCGCGCTCTAATCACATGCGGTATCCTTTGAACTATTATGTGACGAGAAATGCATCGCCAGATTGTTGAGGTTACAGATTTGGTTGGCCTAGGAGTTATTCGACATTCTGAGCACTAAATGATACCGTACCCAACGACAGAGCCTTTGATCACGAAGTGTTATATTTTTGCTTTTTGTTATATTAGATACCTGAAAATGCGTTTTTTTCTTTTTTTTATTGTTATTTTGTTTTAATAAGGGTTCTCCTACTGATTTTTGCGTCAAGAGGGACTTCGTAAATTCTCGCGAAGTCATGGGGACTTCGTTCCAAAAATGCTCCAAGCCAACGAGTGCCGGGCCTGCTCGTGCACTCTCGCTGTCTGTTTTCTCTGCGCCTCTTGCGGTCATGTACTGCCTTGAATGAACGCAACCGCGTTGCTCTCCGAGCACAGCGCGGACGGCCTACATATCTGGAGGTCACTTTTATGCAAGTTTAGCAGGTTTTACGACACTCTTTGCTTTTAACCCAAGACAAATTTAGTTTGACCCCTAACCACCTGTGTCGGGCCGTGCTTATTCCTCAACATCCACAGGCAAACAACGGATTTTTCTTCGTAGCATGTATACTGCTCCTCGAGATTTGCTACATATTATCGGAACTTAATATATATATTAGGTCGTTCCGAAAGTAATGTCGCTTTTTTCAATCGAAGGCTACATCTCACGGAATCAAGATTTTCAAGAGTTCTTGGGATCATTCGATGCAGCATTTCGCCCTCTTTCTAATGGTTCTAATCTTATTGCATAGTATTCAATGAGCTCTCAATAAATTACCAAAACCTGCGACTCATGCTTTTTGTCATGGTCGAGTTCGGCTAATTTTCCAAATTTTTGTACTGATTCCCTGAAAACGTACAAGTAACAGATAAATAGAGCAGACCCTATAGGATGCAAAACAATTTTTTGCTTTTCTTTAATTTGCTTCTTTGAGTTTCTGGAGTTAATTTTACAAGGTCATCAAAGTCCATATTTGGTCAACTTAAACCTCACAGAACAACAACCGGCAAGCAACTCGGGTGCCATTCGACGCAGCTTTTTCTCCTCTTTCTATTAGTTATTTTTTGTTTCCGATTCATCAGGTTTTCCGGGATAAAATCATCATAATGCAGGTTTTCCAGGGCGCCCCGAGCTGTACCCGGAATTTTCTAAAGTTGCTAATCTGAAGCGGTGAATGCTCATTTGGTTTGTTAAATTAGTGTCAAGCCATAATCCATCTTTGTAAGTTTTAAAATCCGAAGATTTATTGCTGTTTGATGCATTTGTGTCTGAGACGAGCCTGCTGAAACTCGGTGGTTCCATCAAAAAATTAATACAAAAATTATGACGAGCTATGGAAAGTAGAAAAAAGTTGTGCTGTTTCCTGTAGGGTTTGCTCTATCCATCCATTACTTGGACTTCTTCCGAGGGTTGTTATGAAAACTTAGAAAATTTGTGAAACTTGACCTTCTTAAAAAGCATGGGTCGCAGTTTTTGGTGATTTTTCAAAAGCTCATTGAATATGATGCCATGATACTACAACCCTTAGAAAGAGAATGAAATGCTGCATCGAATAGTTCTAAGATCTCTTAAAAATCTTTGTTCCATCAAATGCGGCGCCCGTCTGAAAAAAGCGACATTACTTTCGGAACGACCTAATATATATCTAATATATAAAGAACTAGTTAACTTACCTCGTCCGCTCGGCCTTTTTAGAATACTATGATAAAGCTCCCATTCCTATCCCTATACAACCTTTCCCTATGCCCACGTCTACATGCCAATTCACTATTCCCGCTTTTTAGTCCCATTCCTATCCCTATACAACCTTTCCCTATGCCCACGTCTACATGCCAATTCACTATTCCCGCTTTTTAGTAATCAGCATGCTCGACTACCCCCGCGTGCCAACTCGCAGACCCGTAGCTCAAACTTTGCAAAAATCGATGAAATCGATAAAAGTAATAGATAATTTTAAAAACTAATATTGTATTTGTAATCAGCATGCTCAATTCCCCCCTTCCCTCCCTATGCCAACCCCCAGCTCCGTAGCTCAAACCTTGCAAAAAATCGATAAAATCTATGTCGATCGATGAAGAAAAGTAGCCTATGACACCCGCCCCGCCCCGAAGTGTATGTGTGCCAAGTTTGGTCCGAATCGGTTCAGAAATGGAATCTATTCGGAACATACATACATACAGACAGACATACATACAAACAGAAATTCAGCTTTATATATAAGATCGTGACGCCAATTCAAAAAACATCAGACAGCGGTAAACCGCGGTGCGGTCCTGAAGCGCGTGCAATACGAGCAGTTTTGATTACTGGTTCACTAGTTTTCAAAAATTTTGAACCTGGAAATTTCCAGCAAACATTGACTTGCCGCTGTAGTCCTTTTCATTCAAGTCATAAGCGCGATGCAATTAAGAACTCGCTTTTATACTACAAAATTATGTTTAGCATATACTGTTTCAAGTTGAGAGCGTTTTTTTTCATTTGCGAACAAATAATTATGGCAAGAAATGCATTGTTGTTCCCTTAGAGAGAGTAAAGTAACCCTTTCGGACTTAACTTTTTGCCTTCAAGAAAAAATTCCTTTTTTCATTGGTTCTTACACATGGGCACTAGATAACACTTCAGATAAGTTTGGAAAGTTTCCGACAGTAAGAAAATACAAAGTGGTGGCATTTGCCAACAACAGGCCGTAGTGGAACGACTTTATTACACCTCACTTATTTACAATGGAAAGTTTTGAAGCAATTTCTATGTTTTGTCAGGCAAAGATAAACGTTACATTTCTCACATTGAATTCGTGAAGTCCTCCACATGTTTCTAGTTTACATCGTTGTTCGTTTCCATCCTCATGTATCGGCCAGTGTCCGACGTTGTCATATCTGATGTCATTCTAAGGGGGCTTCAAGCGTTTTGCTGGAACGTATTCATCATATTTGGAGAATTGGACAGCGGTCTTCCTCGTTTTGGTGCATTTGCGTAACCAGAGAGCCCTAGGCCTTCGGCAACTTTCACAGTGAATTGCAGCAAATCTTTTCCGATTTCGCTCTTCTTTTTCAAGTCACGCTGATACTCTAGCCATGAGTTGCACACTGCCAAGTTGAAATAATGGAATATGATGCGTAATGTCCATTTCTTCGAGCGAACAAAGTTACGAAACAATACAATCAAAAAATCATTTTTATCGATTACTCCCATGGAACTGTTGTAAACCCGTATGACGGGTGGACGTGTGATCATTCTGTAATCACCGGCTCTCCTATCCCACCTTTTCACTTTATTTTGCGGATCAGTTCCTACGAAGTTTGACGCGACGTTCACCACTTTATTGTCGTATCAACAAACAGTGATAAGTTTGCCATCTTCAGTGACGAGGGAGTCAGAACTGCCTCGGCCAAGTTTTTGCAGCTCCTTTTCCGATTTCAGGCTGCACTTTTGCAATCTGCTATTTCGTATTACTCCTGCGCTAAGAACTCCTCGCTCCAATCGCGAGTAAAAGCGATGTGAAGTAGTTGTCACAGAATAACTTGTGGCCACGATGATTTGGAATTCGCTTCGATAGATGAATGACCATTCGATTTGTAGCAGATTACCCTTCAACCAGATCTTCAGGAAGTGTAGTCGAGCCTTGATATACTACCGAGCGGTAGATTATACCAGAGGCACCGCAAAGCATAAATAGTTTGACTTTCCACGGGTCCGGTTTGCCTGTCATACATTGTTTGATGATAAGCTGCCCTTTGAAAGGTATGATTGATTCGTCTATGCAGAGGTTTTCTTCTAAATCCAGTTATTCGCAGCGATTTTCTATTGACAAAATTATGGGACGAACTTCCCATAGTTTATCTCGGTGGTCGTGGTCGGCATTGACATCAACAATAAAGGATATTCGTTGACGACAGCCCCGTTTCGTGCATTTACACCATCGCGGGCGTGCCTTTTTGAAGCCTTTCCAGCTTTACAGTAAGCTGCAGCTCGCGGGGTATTCGCAGCTCACAGCATGCCCGTCCTTTAACCTCTTTCTGTTGTTTGAATATTTCACATCGTTTTTTCTCCTTAATTTTCATTTTAGGCAGTTACAAATTCCCATAAACGCAAAACCATTGCTCCGGGAAGAACCGGAAGGAAACATGAGTTTTCTTCAAAGTTGCAATGGCGGAAATCGTGGCTATGATTGGGAGTGCAATGTTTTCTTTAGTGTTTCATAATGATTTGCCTTTTCTTCTTAAGAGAGACTGCTGAAGTGGCTGTTTTAGCACTTCTACATCAAGGAGACATATAGGTGTGCTAAAATAAACATTTCAGTGGTCTCATTCAAGGAGAAGGCATTATAGCCATCACTGCTCATGAAGAAAGCACATTCTTTACCCTAACTATGCCGGGACGATAGTTTACGATTCTGAGAATGTTTGTATGGTATGTAAAAAGGAGCATGAATTTAATAACTGTACCAAAACTTTTTTTTCCTGCTCTTTCAGTATTCATCAAAACAGAACTTGTAGGATGCTCGACCGAGACAAATTTAAAGAAAAGGAGAATGAGTATTTGATGAACAAGTGCCTGAACTGAAGATTAAAAAGGAAAAAAAGATGAGAAATGCGGAAGAGGTTAAAGGACAGGGATGCTGTGAGCTGCGAATTCCCTGCGCGCTGTAGCGTACTGTAAAGCTGGAAAGGCTTCAAAAAAGCACGCCCGCGGTGGTGTAAATGCACGAAACGGGGCTGTCGTCAACGAATATCCTTTAGATTATTGCGCAATTACAAGAAACGGGTGCGCGGAAGATTCAATTTGTCGAAAAACTGAATTCTTGTGGCTGGTGACCAATACATTCGTAGTTTAGGGTATAGAACGCTCCCATCAGGATATGTGCTCCAACAATCTTCTTGATCTCTAGAGTTGATGCGTCGATACATTTACCACTTGTATGTACTGAATACATATTAGTCTTCTCCATCAATTAATCGAACACGGAGTCGGGAAAGTATTTGAAAAAGTACGTAAGAGGCGTTGGGATATCATTTTCCCCTTCAGAACTAACGTCATCGAAAGTTACGTCTGGAGGTGTGAACCTCTTCTTGGTCAAATTTAAATTTTTCATGTTCTCCTCCCGCAATTTCCTAACTAGTGCAGATAGTCGAATCTCGTCTAATTCAAGAAGCTCGCCGTCGTCACTCTTTATCGGTCTCCTCAAGTTCTTCGAACTCCTCGTCAACATCATCTTCAATGTCGGAGTCGTCAAGAGCTGATGATAGTGTTGCAGCTTTTCTCAGAGTGATTTTTCTTGATACGTCCGCTAGGTTTTTGTAGGAGCTCGTCGGCGGTCCGTGTTCTGAAAAAAAAAAGAAGAAAAGTTTCACTAAGCCCATTGGTGGCAAATGCGTACGGCAGTTCTGATGGCAAATAGCCAAAATATGTAGACTCACAAACAACTACCACACATTTCTCTAACAACTTCATACTAAACAGTTACAATAGTAGTATGAATAAAAACTTCAAAAAAATTTACACTAACCTGTCTGATTGCGGGGCCGAGCGCGATCCATCGTTCCATCGTGCACGAATGCTTCTGGTACTGGGTGCAGAACGAACAAAAATGCGAAAGGACGCGCAGTCAGAAAGCAGTGGGCCATCTAAAACTACTGTAATCGGGAGTGCCAGGAACATGCTGTAGCGGCTTGCTGCAGTCCTTCAAAGTTGGTGGTGGCAGTTGCCACTGCCAGGTCTTAAAGGGTTAAGTGAGGTTTTGTATTTTTTGCAGCGTTTTCTTGTAAGGAAATTATGTGAAATCCGAGGCTAGTATGAATACTCGGACGGTCATTGGCTGTGCAATGCTACATCTTGGCCTTTATGGTTTGCCGGAATGAGGATTTGCGAAAAAGCTTTTGGTAATCTTTGGGACAGAAAATCTTTCTTGTAGCTGCTGCATTAACTTTTGAGACACATCGGATTGCCAAAGATTGTAAACTGTAACATTAATAGACCATAGAAGGAGTTATGGTGGGTCAATGGACTTCAAAAACGACGAATTTTTAGGGTGTTCAAAATCTTTCCGCTAATCCAGTCTCTGACTACAACCAAACAATCAGTGAAGATAGTAGGTTAAGCACATTTTCTCGCATTAGTTGCATCCAGCAAGTTCACTTTTTCTTAACAGGCTACCATCGACGTTATTAGCGAGTTTGCAGAAGATGGTGTAATCTATCTGGAGCTAAGATCAACACCCAAGATGACTTCGGAAATGTCAAAAAAAGAGTATGTGGAAGCTATTCTTGAAGGTAGATATGAGTTTTTTTTATATAGAAACTCATATAATCAGTTAAATTATAGGAATTGCCGAAAGCTCTCGCTCTCTCGGTATAATCACTAGGCTCATCCTAAGCGTCGACCGTCGTCAGTCACCTGAAGAAGCAGAACAAACAATCGCACTCGCTGTGAACGATAGTTAGTCTCAAACACATCTGTTTCGAGCTCTGTGGTACCCTGATCACGCCCGGCACGTCACTAGCCACCATAGCCACCGTTAGCCGCCGCCTGCCTCCAGTATCCGCCCATTGCCCCGTTAGCCGCTTCTATCCTCACTCGAGCCGGAAACCATCAGTTTTTCACTGCGCTTTGATGCATCCGTGCAGTCCGATGATTTCGAGGAATACAGTGCCCAACGTTTTTGAAAGAAGTCGCGAATGGGCAGAGGCGTAGTGGCTGAGATCAGCTGCTTCTTCGCTACGCTATGAATGTAGTGCCGAGCCTTTTTGAAAGAAGTCACGAGTGGGAATGTCAAACAATGCTTGCCTGAAACAGTCATGCGTACTGGACAGAACTTTGCAATATTTCTTTGCACTGATATCTGGGCCCGTAGTAATCCCCCCTCGTGGAGACAAATAAAAATAATGCGCCTCTGTATTATTTCTTACATTTTGGAAAATGTGAATGTTCCATTTAAGGGTATATCAAAAACCTGGGCAATCGCGTTTTCTAGTGATTGAGCTACTTTTTCTTTATCATTTTGCACTGATATTCATTTTCCAAGCAAATTTTTTTGCATGTATAGTCCCTTATTCCCTCAATCTTAGCATCGCGTATATTTGCTGATTTGCTGTTCATTATTTGTTCACCTGGCGAATCCCTGCTGATTTGAGCGAGGGAACCGTCTGGCGTCATGGCTAATTAAATAGCTCATATTTGAGCATACTAGGGAATTGACAAAACTACAATCACTCTATTTTTTGTATATACCGGTTGCAAAACGTAGACGCGGGAGTTGGTCTACTAATACTCGGACAGCCGCTTGCAGCCACAGGGTGGTGATTAGCGAGGAGCAACGCAGGCTTACTTGCGTTGAGCTACGCGGCAGCTCGAATCTCTTACCATTCACTCACCACAGTCTGAGGTGCGAAGAAACCTAAGCTGCCGGTTCTGATGACAACCAATACAAGCAAATTAAGTAACTGTGAAAATATGTATGCTCACATCACGAGTCAGCAAATCGGGTGCCTAATAGCGAATCAGTCAAAATTTCAAAAACAAAACTAAACACTTTTCAACTGTGATGGGATACTCTATCGAATTGTTTTTCTCGCTTCCCGAAAAACTGAATACCTTTTGAACTCCGGCTTCTTTATTCACAAATTGAACATGATTGCAGCTAATTTTTACAATTTTTTGAAAATCCCCTTTTTCAGAATATGACAATATCTCGCACATGTCTTTTGTAATTACTAGATATGAACTCTAATACTTTAGAGAGCCGCTCAAAGCCACTTTTCCGAATAAATTATTCAACCGTTTCCAGACATTTTCTTTTCCGAAAATCTCATTCCTGGAACATGTCAAAATTCGGGCATTTGACGAATAACGTGAAAAACGTAAATCGGATGGTCTGATGGTTCAAAATTTCTAATCATTGTCATTGTTCCATTTTTGTTTGTTTGAATGTTTTTAGCAAATCTGTCGTTCAAATTGTTTCATTAAAACCTTCGTTAGTAAAATTTTTTTACCGTTTTTCTGTATAATCCAGGTCATTTCCCACCTCATAGCGTGCTGGCGAGAGAATGTAACAGAGAGGGTTTTAAAGAGACAAGAGGGACTGCCGCGTAGTGCAGCGCAATGAGGGCTGCGAGCGGCTGTCCGGGTATCAATTGATACCGACCCCGTAGATCCCTACAGGACGCGTGCCACCTCTCCTTTCCTGTTAATCACGTCCAATATTGGCGCTGCTCTATCTACTCTGCTTGTTGGCAAATCATCACTATGCGCCTTTATTGTGAATATGAGGAGACAGTGCCGTTTTTACATTTGACGAATCGAGTACGAATCGAAGCTTGCTTATCGGCTCCTTTGAAAGATGTCGCAAGCCAATTCTGTCTGCAGCATTTTTTCGCTCACCTCAACTTTGATTTTACGGGATCGAAGTGCCATCTGTAGTGCAGTGGCAGTGAGCGCCGTCAACGACCAGCGAAAAGTTCGACTGCGCGTGCGGGAGCAAAGTTTGCGCGACTAAGACATAGTCGTGAGCGCTTGTCCTTCAGTCGGACATGTCGTGACCTCGCTTTTTTCACATTACGACATATTTTGGGGGTTTAATACGGGCTCTGGTGGCCCTTTGGCACGTAGTGGTACTAAACTTTTTTACAAGGTATGCTGTGAGTGCTGTGTCTAATACCAGAAACAAGGTCCTTTGTTCCTCAGCGATTTTTGACCTGATGCCTCTGTCGCTGATTTCAGAAACGGGCCTCATTGTCGGCATCGAACTTAGCGGTAATCCTGCCATAGATGGTAGGAAATTTTTATCAGCGCTAAAAGCTGCTCGTAAACAGGGATTAAAAATCACCGTTCATCTAGCTGAGGTAATCAAGGATATGTCATCAAAATTGTACCATGTAATGCTATCAGTATTCAAGGTCTCTAATCAGTTAGAAGAGGTTGAAGAATTTCTTCATTTCAAACCAGACCGAATAGGACATGGGACATTCTTGCATACTCGCGACGAATATGTGAACCTCATGATGCATTATCGGATTCCCTTAGGTTAGCACTCTGTTTCTTTCAGATTTTAGTTATTGTAGCTCAATTCCAGAGGTTTGTCTTACCTCCAATGTTTTAAGCATGACAACTACAAGTATGGCCAACTCGCACCTGAAATTTTGGTGTGGAAAATCTATTCCAATCTGTCTCTGTGTTAGTTGCTCACTTTGTCACAACCGCTCAATTTAGCAGACTTTTCTGGATCCCTAGCTTGACTTTCTTCGAGCGCAATCTTTCTTGATTGTCATAGAGACTGCCGTCCCGCATGTGGCAAAACAGTTAAGCATGGCAGTTCAAATACGTCTCATTAGAAATTGCCAGAGTATTTTCACAAATGTTTACTTTCTGTGCAATCGCTAGAAAGACAACTTCTTGCGCACATTTGAGTGGTATAAGCCAACCAGTAGCAGTAAGCAAGGAGGAGTGCTGTAGAGAATTGCGCATCATAATTATTGAAAACAAAAGGTTTAGTCCCAACGAACAGATCTATGGATTACCCTGCCAGGTTTTAGACCGACGACAAAGGATTAATGGATTGTGATCTCTCTAGCGAATTCTACAAAGCGAGCCAGATCTTCGGATTTGAGATGCAGGATCTCTGGACCATATCCGTAAACGCCTTGAAAATGTCTTTTTTGGACAAGAAGAGTGAAGACTATAGAAACCTCATGAGCACGCTTGATCGTACGACGCTCTGATCAAACGGTTTTGTTTATTGAAAGGATGCCAAATTTTGCGAATATGGTTTGTATTGTTTTATTAAAGAAAGTTGTCAAGCCACTGAATCTTCCTTTAAATAAAGCTGACCAATTTGAGACATTTTTTTACATCCTTATGGAAGATGATGAACGGATGGTCTTGCCGTTCCACTGGCTCAGCACAGCTTTAAAAATCAAAGTTTATCACAAAAATAGTAGAGAAGCTGGTCTGAAAACAAATACAGTTGAAGAAATATCAAGGAAAAGGATAAGATTGAAAAGAATGTTACAGTCACAACTTATAATAATAACGCGCTAAGAGTGTTTACGTGTTTTTGTGTGTCTGTCTGTGTGAATGTCTGTCTGTCACGAAATTCATAGCGCGAGTTCCAGCCAACCTCCTGGGCTTAAATTTTGCACAGCGCATGCTACCCGGATGAAAGTCCAACACGCAAAAGCACGAGCAGATTCGTTGAGTGGATCCCTCAGAAACTGCGCGTCAAACGGATCCACTTTGCATTTGGGCTGCAAAATTGGGTCCGTAATTCCGCTTTTTGTAGAGTTGTGGATGTTTATGCCAAGTAAATGTGCAATTCATAAACTTAGACTCAAAAAAGTGATTGAAAGTCCATTACTTTACGAAAACGTCGCCAAAAAGTATTGGTTGCGTAAATAGACAATTTGCCAAGGTTTTACCAGAGCATGTACGAGATTTTTGCACAAAGATGTAGCTCAAGTGACTGCTGTTCTTATTGCAAGTGTCAAGACTATGGGAAAATCAAAAAACCTTTAAAATTTTGCGTTTGTTTTCCTGCAAAAAGTCTCATCCACGCGAAATCACCGATTTCACATAAAAAAGCTTTCGGAATGAGTAGTTGTTTACATTTCGTTCGTGATAGTCGGCATTGCTCGGTGAGTACCAATGCCATCATTAAATTTCGCTCAGACTCGGTCTAGGGAGGTTATTTGACCCGCTGGTGCCGTGTTCACTCAGGAAAGCGCCATTTTCTTGCAGTCTGTACCAACCACAACAACAATTGGCATTTTTTTGGGTCACCTAGATACAAAAAAGTCTGGTATAGGGGCTTGCAGGATTGCGAGAGTCGGACGTGCGTACGCCGTTGAGCCGCGCACGTCAGATGTGCTCCGACGACTCAGGTAGGTGCCAGACTTATCCTGTTGAACAGGTTTATTCGGTTTTAAAGACTTGCTCTACGAACTGAATACAATATTCTTGATGAGAACATCAAATAAATTTACTGTGCATATGTTCCGGCAAATCTAGGACTTTGACAGCTATAACTCCGCAACTCCGAGTGTATCGTCTGCGTCCCAGAGAGGTTCCCATAGGTACCACGTCATCTCGCTGCCTTTCGCACTTTTGAACGTGTTAACCTCGGGCACTACCGTTGAAATCTCAGGTGAAACGTGTCAAAAAGAGCGAAAGGCAGCGTCGCACCAAGTACGCACGCTGGTTCACATGGGAACCTCTCTGGGGTGCAGACTGTATGTCCAAAATTATATATGAGCATGAATTTTGTGATCAGCATGTTGATAACTACTCTAGACGGAATTCCAACCAAACATATGGTTTTGTTCCCTTACGAAGCACATGATTATAATCTTTGGCATCATTGGGTCGAATAACCCCCTTGAACCGAGTTTGAGCAAAATCCGGAAACACTGAGGCCCTGATACTGAATAGAGTAAAATTTCGATGTGATCCTGAGGTTGGACTTGATACTGGACTACAAAATGAAAGTATAAATGATAAAATCAAGCCGGCAGAAGTATGCCCATGAACAATCAACTAGCGATTTAGTCGCTGCAATTTCGTCGCTACTTGCAGCAAATCGCGACGACCAGGAATCGCGACGATGAAATCGCGTGAAGTATGCCCGGTCCTTAACTTATAATAACCGGCTAAGGCCTCGAACAGAGCTCACGCGATTTGATCGTCGCGATTCAGTCGCCGCGAATTTCCATTCATTTTTATTTTACATTCAAAAATTTCGGGCTGGAAAAGTAGCACAACCGAAATGCAAACTGGTCGGCATGCAATGAACTCGTAGCAGTTGTCTTGTCGCGATTCAATCGCGACGATCAAATCGCGTGAACTCTGCCCGAGGCTTAAGAATTTTTTTGTATGTGTCTGTCTGTCCGTTACGAAATTTATAGAGCGTGTTTCAGCCAATGTCCTGAGCCCAAATTTTGCACTGCGTATGCTACCAGCATGAAAGTCCAATATGCAAAAGCTAGCGGATCCGTTGAGTGGATCCATCAAAAATTGCGTTTCAAACGGATAAACTTCTGGCCAGCAAAACTGTGCATGTAGCAGCACTTTTTGCAAAGCCATGAGTATGTTTGACAAGCTGTGCAAGCCATGGACTTTAGCCCAAAAAAGTGAACAAAAGTTTATTACTTTACGAAGTGGCGCCGAAAAGAATCATTACGTAAATTTCAATTTGCCAAGAGTTCACCTGATTATTTGTAAAGATGTTGCACAGAGATGTGGCCCACGGTCATCACTGTCCTCAAGGCGACTATCAAGCCATGAAGGTCCCAAAAACCGATTTAAATTTGCATTTGTTCCTCCGGGTAAAGTTCCATCCACGGGAAATTACCGATCTCACATATTTTTTAGAAATGAGCGGTTGTTTACGAATCATTCATGTTGCATAGTGCGGTGAGTTTCATTGTCATTATTGCGGGAATAAGTAAGGCATACAGATAGTGAGACCAGTGCGAACCTCTGCGAAGCAGAGGTAACGCACTGGTATTATATGTATATCTAACACAAATGAAGAAATGAACAACCTCAGACTGACAACTTAAAAAATGGTGCGACTTATGTCGCACAACTTTGCTTTATGTCGCATGCATACGAACCGCCTGTCAACAGAAACCTGAATATATGAGACCACCTACACGTAATCCAAATGTAAACAAGAATCATAGCTACAAGAGTTTGAGATGAGCGTTCGCGTGCATGCTGGATGCTTTATCTCTTTGATCTTCAGAAAATCCTCGACACTAAGTCAAAAACTGGGGAAATCTTGGGATATATTTACATATCTAATATAACTAGTTCCGAAAAGACGGCGAGAAGCGTTTTTCAATTAGATATTTTTCATGAGAGAAAACAGTAAAGAAGACCCTGTAAATATGTATTGATCTTTCTTGGATCAGGAACAAGCTGCCTATGTTGAGAAGAAATTGCAAAACAAGGTTAACAAGGCTCCACCACTTAAACTGATATGATGACGGAAAAATTCTATGCGTCATTACTTTCATGAAACTTTGCAGATTTGAGTAGCACTGTCGTAGCAAATAGTTTGTTACACATGGGAATGTGTATTTTGGCGGTGATAGTGAAGCTTCCACTATGTGAGACTACATTTTTGAGCCTTCACTCCACAAGGAAAAACGGGGAGTTCCCAATTACGATCAAGTAAATGCAAACCTGCTAACCTGCTCCTGGCTATTGTATTGGGTTGTAAAGAAAGTTCTGCCAATAAAGGTTAAGCTAATATGTTTCATGTAAATGTGTACATATGTGTATATATCAGGTCCTCTTTCCAGCTGCCAAACTCTCGTTGTGTTTCGTTGAGAGAGTGACGAGATATTTGCTGGAAATTACAACCACTCGTTTTTACCATGTCCAAATTTCGCTAATTTTCAAAATTTTTGTATGAGACTTTCGGAGGAGCCCTAATAACCACCAGATAGGGCAAACCTTTTGCCAACTTATGCAGTTTTTTTCTTTTTCTCAGCTGCTTTTTCAGATTTTTGCTAAATAATTTTCTAAAAGTCTTGTGTTTTGGAAAAATCGCATAACCTGTTATTTCACCCAAACACTGCAAAACCTACAGAAGACTGAGGTCTTAACACTCGATTATTACTACCGCTACCATTACAAAGGTAATAAGCGATTTTCGTTTCAAATTGTGAAGTTTTTGAAACTTAGGTTACGTCAGTGCGCACTCCTGAAATTGAGAAAGACTGCGATTTTCCCCACAAATTTCGCCTGTCTCGGCAAAAAAACACAAGTGTTAGAAGGAGGAGAAAAAGTTGCATTGAATGGTGACTGAAATGTTCAACATTTTATGTTCCACGAGGTTGAAATAGGCTGAATGTAAAATTTGGTCACTTCAAAAAATATAACGTAGAAATTCTGGAAGACAAGCCATAGGGCCACAAAAATTGCTTCTGTTGGCAAAAGGTTTGCCCTATCTGCTGGTTAATAGCGCTCCTCCGAAAGTCTCATACAACAATTTTGAAAATTAGCGAAAGTTGGACATGGTAAAAACGAGCGGTTGTAATTTTTAGCAAATATCTCGTCACTCCCTCAACAAAACACAACGAGAGTTTGGCAGCTGGAAAGAGGAAGAAATTCTGCATCGGGTACATTTTGAACTGTTTGCTTATCTTCATTCTAGCGTGTTTGCCGGTGGATTAAAAAAACTGACAAAACTTTTGCACCAACCTAATATACTAGCTGGCTTACCCGGCTCCGCCGTATGTTCCGAATAGAAAATTCCATTTCTTAACCGATCCGGACCAAACTTGGCACACATACACTTCGGGCCCCGGCGGGTGTCACAGTCCACTTTTCGTTATCGATCGTGGGGGTGATCAGCATGCTCGATTACACCCCTCTGCCAAATTCCAGCCCCGTAGCTCAAATTTTGCAAAAAATCGATAAAATCGATATCGATCGATGACGAAAAGTAGCCTATGACACCCGCCGGGGCCCGAAGTGTATGTGTGCCAAGTTTGGTCCCGGTTCAGAAATGGAATTTTCTATTCGGAACATACGTACACACATACAGACATACAGACATACAGACATACAGACAGACAGACAGACAAACAGACATTCAGCTTTATATATATCTTTATCATAAGTGGCTTAATCGACAATATTTTGTTCATGTGTACTGAAAGTTTTGAACTACTGAGTGGGATATCATAAATGCTTTTCTCCAAAAAGGTGCGTTTTGAGATAGGTGGAAAGATCAAGTTGTGAACGCTGAAATCAATGAGCTATTTTTTGCTTGGAAGAAGGTTTAGGTATTGGAACAAGTAGGAGTCAGATGTCGCTTCTTCTGCCGATAGAAGGCTATAGAACGGATTTCCAAAAATCAAGCTTCTGCAAGTTCTGCGCGTCTATCTGAAAAAAGTTCCTTTTCGTAGACCTGACATGCAGTCAATATTGGTAATTTTAGGAAGAACTGGCAGAGCTTTCTTTACAACCTAATATTAGGTATTTATAGCCTAATACAGATTGCATTCAGAAGGCCTCCTGCATAAAAGTGCAGATGCATCTCTGTTAGCTTGAAATTTTTGAGCTATTCTGGGGAATTTGATAAGCATCTGTGCGTTCTTCTCAAGGCCCTATTCCTTATCCAAAACACCGAATAAAGCTAGAACTCCTCTCTTTGTGAAAGAGATGAGCTCAGCTATATATTAGCCGGTCTACGGTTGCACATTTTCATTCACGTTTTGCACCATTTCTGAAGAAAAACCACTTTTTTGAAGGATTGGTTTCAGGTATCATGAGCCATGCCCTTCAATGCGCCTGAATTCATCTGTCGTGAGAATAAGTATAATGGAATGTTATGGACCCACTTGAGTTTCCGCAATATTCAAATTGCAATCCGTCTGTAATTTTTTTGCTGTTTCCAGACATCAAAAAGGCGAACTCTATCCAAGCTGATCTAAGCTAGATAAATATTTCTTGGCTTTCAATTGCTTAGTAGTATATATAGTATTCAGATACCATGTAGACTTCTCAACTATACATCGCAAATATTAGAGAAGCTTGTCTCCGAAATTGCTATTCAGTTCGATTATGTATAGAATTCATCCGTACTCATCCATCCGATTTTCTATCACCGATGAGGTGAGTTCGAAATTCTTTTAGGGTTGGTCGTTTTAAAACTAAACCAATGAATTGGTTACTAAACGAGTTAGCAGCAAGAGTAATTTGAGACAACAATAGTAGGAGCTACTCTGTGGTAGAACCTACAGAGCTTATGTTATAAACAATGAACAAGCGATCGTTATTTCTAGCTTGATGAAAAACCGTGTAACTCAGTCTTACCCAGCAAGCACATGCTCTCGTGAGAGCACTGATACCAGTGGTTTTTCCCTGCGTTGATTCTGTGCGTTTCTGTTAGCAAAAGCCAGTCCTCTAACGAACCCCACCCACTTTCGAATCATCAAGGCGTATAAAGCTCATCGATGCCGGTGCCAAGTCACCATACAATCACACCCGGCAATGAATTCGGCCTTTAGGTGTGCCAGCATAGCCTGCTTACTGTTATTTATCTCTAGAGCACAATTTGTGGAAGCTGATTTGACAGCTCTGGTATTTAATGAGGTAAGCAATGAATTACTTCCATTATGCATTACAATTTTTCGAGTTTTTGAGACATCCAAATAATTGTTACTTGTTTTCCACTAGTTTGTATAATAAACTCGTTTGCATTATTTGTTTTGATTTTTCTCGATATTTCGCAAAGCATTTGGTGAGGCGCTTGCATGCTTCGGAAGCTCTAAGTCTGCTTTACCAACTGCTGTAACTACTCCTTTAATATATAAGAAGTTGGTTGAAAATTCGACCACAAAGCGGAAAATGGGAAGACGGAATCCATTTTCGATACCTTTTTCTTTCTTTGTCTTTACCGTTGTTCATTGATGAAATTTATTCAAAAGCCTGACAGCAACGAAAACAGGCTAATCACTTGCACTTATAGTCACTCTTTATGCTTGTTCACTGCCTTTCATCGACGGTTTGATTTTATTTTTGCAATTGTCGGTGAAGCAAGACTTTGCCGCAAAGGTATTCGTCGTTTCGCGTACTTGATGTGTGTTTCCCAAAATTAGAAATTTGGAGTTAGTAACCCATATAATTGATGGTTTTATGATCAGAGCACCCCTTGTCTGCCAATTCTGTATTCTAAGGCGACCAGCCTCTTTCAAGTGCCTTCAGATGCTTTACGTTGACGCAGCAGGGACTTTTAAAGTAGATTTATTCTCAAGCTTGTAAGATGAATTTTTGAAAAATATTAGCAATTATAACTAATTTGCGAAAGGTACGGCATTCCATCCTGCCAGATGTTTTGCAAAACATAAAGAAAACTAAAACAAAAAATGCGAACGAATTCATTACACAACCGCTAAAATTGCCCTAGCAAAGCTACTTACATTAGTCATTTCGACATAAAGTACGACTTCATTCTCGGCAGTTTTTAGAAGTCTAAATCTGTCAAGATTCATAACTTTCTAGTTCTTAAGGCTTTGTACCACTACCTTTTCAACCTGAATTCTTCGTAATTTTCTGAATTGGCACATCACAAATGAGCAATAAGTAGCCTAGAATTTCCACACCAAAATAGCCTGCTAGCTATAATTTTACATAAAATCGGCTAAAGCTGCTAAGAATTAGGTTTGCTTGATCCTTTAATCTACCTTTTTGCGTACCCACTTTTGAGACATTGTAAAGCTTTCACATGTTGCAGAAAGCTTCCTTGTCGCGTGTAAAAAGGAGTTGCTGTTCATCCGCTTTGATGTCATGCTGTCCACCGGTAAGCTTTTAAAATCGCTTCGGACACAACACTTCGCTCTCAAGTGGATATTTATAGACAGCAGTTTCTTGTTTTGAAGCTTGTAACGTACGGTGTGTTCCAGCGTGTAGAACATCGTCATGCATTATAGGTGAGCTGCATGAGAGGGTGAACTCACCATGCTATTCTTTTTTCTTTGGAAATACGTTCTAATCCATTGCCACATTTCAGGATGCACTAATAGCTGCTGTCAAACGTGTTCCATTCCAGTTGTTGTAGTCCCTATGGCAGGCACTCAACCTACGATATCTCCTTCACAACCACCTCTACCAACAACCCTCCCACCTCCTCCACCACCCCCACCAACCACTCTTCCACCACCACCACCACCTCCACCAACCACTATTCCACCTCCTCCTCCTCCTCCACCAACCACTCTTCCACCACCACCTCCTCCACCAGCCACTTTTCCACCATCACTGCCTGCACCATCAGTCACAACACCCGCAGCAGCCTCATGCCAACCTGTCTGCCAACAGGCTTGTATGACATGCCCGACACAGATCTGTATCAGCCTCTGCATGCCAAAGTGTGTATCTGTGTGTTCAACTGGTGGGTCACCAGCTACTACTGGTGCTCCACTACCACCGCCGCCTCCTCCAACTACTCTTCCGCCACCACCACCTCCTCCACCAGCTACTCTTCCACCACCACCTCCTCCACCAGCTACTCTTCCACCACCACCTCCTCCACCAGCTACTCTTCCACCACCACCTCCTCCACCAGCTACTCTTCCACCACCACCTCCTCCACCAGCTACTCTTCCACCACCACCTCCTCCACCAGCTACTCTTCCTCCTCCTCCACCTCCTCCTCCGCCAGTCACTACTGCTCCACCTGCGACTTCAGTAAGGAACTAGTCAAATTGTTGATAGCAGTCTTTCCTAAACCATTATTTCAGTGTCAAGTCTGCTTGGTACCCTGCCAGCTACAATGCCAGGTTGTGCGCCCCATTAGTGTTTGTATGCCAATGTGCCAGCAAATGTGCTGTATGTAAGGACAATGGGTCGCATTTGCACCGAAATGTATTACCATGCACTAACATGGAAATGGTCAGAAATCGAAGTGGCCAATTCACACAAAATGCATAACATTGAATGCCGCTGACTCTAAGTCTGTCTTCCTTGTCTGCTGTACACTTTTGTGGACGAAGGAAAAAGCCATTGAGGTCATTACTTTGCTAGGAAATCGCGCGTATAAAGGGTGAATTGGCCGTACAGAGTCGTGGTCAGCTTAATACTGGGTAATGCAGCTAGGTTAATTCAAGTGACTCATACCAAAAGGTGAGCTAAAAGGGTCATAATGCGCTCACCTCCGCAAATTTTATGTGCAATTTCTCGCATCTAATCTGCTCGTGACTTTGCCTGCAAAGGCGTTCAGCATACAGAAGATAGTTTTGAAGTCAGCGTTTTATGTTGCATCAAATGGCATGCAGCTTCCTTGTATTGGCTACTTCAACTTCTGACCATTCCCTTGCAAGATGCACTTCTTCGAATCCTGATTCTTTTCAGAAATTGCTATCTTATTCTTGGTGCACATTTCCTCCACATTCTATTTGTTGAAGCTTGTGGCTTTTGTAAGTATGTTTGTACAAAGCGACACTATTCAGTAAATGAATTGTTCGACTCTCTATGAACTGGGATGACGTAGATTTCGCAACGATGATTGTACGCACTCAAAACTGGTACCTTTATTCATTGACTGACGTTGGCAGAGCGCATTCTTTGAAGCCTGAAAGGGGGATTTGCATATCCAATCATATGTCTGTGCAGCTCTACAAGCAGAGTTCTAAGACTTTGCCTGATCACTGCGCTTACCTGTTTGAGCATCCCTATAGCACAGAGGTGCATGTGCGATGGCTGCCAAGTGATCATGTATGCAACGCTATCTCTAGTATATGCCTCTACATTCAAAAGGCGTTACCCAGGTAAAGTGAGTTCATGAGTAATTGCGTGGCACTCTTCCTTGCGATTCATACGGGAAACTTTTACATGAATCTAAAATTCTAGCATTCGCAAGGTGACGTGTAGGATTCTTTGCCGAAATCTTCATTGAAACTTCAAAGGTTCTCCCCATGTTTTATCAGCCTGCGACTCCTTAAAGGTGTGTGACCGTGCATTACTGACCTTATGCAGTCTCTTTCCCTACCCACTGGGCAGATAGTGCAAGTGGGCGTTGTGCAGATACGATCCTGAATGCGATTTTAAACCGATACATCTTTTATGTTATTTGGAGGTATCTCCACTATCTCCAATCTTCACTATACTTAGAACCTCTTCAACTGACTGATCGAGTTGTGTAAACATTTGCGCACCAGCAAATCTCATATCAAACAGCAACAGTACGATGTAAGCAGAATTCCATAATGGCGCGTGAACAGTGAGATACTCACGAGAACCTTCTATTCCTTAATTTTCACAGGCTCATACTACTAGCCTAAGTATATAATGTAGCAACTTCTAGCGCATATCCTTTTCGCGCATACAATGGACAGCCACGGATTGGCTTTCAGCTGGAATCTTTGCCGTGGTTTTCTGCACATCTTGAGGATACTAAAAACTCAGCACTCTCAATCAGGAGAGTACTGAGTTTATAGCATATAGCGTCGAAAAGCTCTTGGTCTTATTTTTATAAGAAGTTAGATGAGTCAAATACATACAAAGACAATAGCTTATTTAAAGAGATAAGAGCGATAGTAGAGGTTATATTTCATGTTCAAAAGACAAAAATCACTTTGTTCCAACAGACTTCGATCTCTGTCGGATCGCAATCGTCATCGTCAGCATCTAGCACATCAGGCTTTTTCTTCAAAGTTCGGATATGGATACCGAATGCAACCGATTTAACAAGTAGGAATAAAAAAAATGGAAGCTTTTGGAAAAATGTTGAGTCAGAGAAGTAATTATCCATACTGCTGGGAAGATCCAGTCGTAACCGTTTTAGTTGGGGTTCCTGGACTTGTATCATGAACAAAAAACGCTTAGAAAACGTTTGAAAAAACCCTCATCTTCGTCATAGAATCCCTCTGGAAAAAAGTGAAGCAGCTGCGGAAAGTCCTAAAATTAGCGCAAGTATTCGCTTAACTTGATTTGTTGACAGTTAAATAGCTTGATACGATGATATAGAATTGCACTTGGAAAAATTACTTCGGAGCCTAATGACCGCTGAATTCGCTGACATTGCTCAACGATCTGACGTTTTCCGTACATTTATCTTAGTTCTTCATCAAACCCAAAAAGAACAACAATTCATCACCACATAAAAAACAAAATCCCTAGATTCTTCACTTTGATAAAGAGAGTGTACGCTTCAGGATCACGGAATCAGAATGCCGATGACTCCGCCAACTGATAAGACGTTCTAGACATTGATAGGATGCGCATGAGTGGTGCAAACAAAAGAACTTTACGCACACATAAACAGCAGCATGTCTCTGACAGGAACTGAAAACTTATACCGGGTGCGATAAAACAGGAAGACAAGGTGTTTTTATTAGAACGGTCTAGAATCTACATCCCGTAGTTGATTTGTGGAAATGCGCAATGCTGAGTTTGAAATATTGGCAGGTTAGCAGCGCAATTCTTCGAGTGGCGTGAATGCTCTCAATCCTGCGCCAATAATAGCGTACGTTAGAAGATTGCCAATTGAGCATCAGAACTTCAATACGCATATCATTTAGGTCAGGCCAAACATGGCGATGTGCATCCCCACCGCTGTGGTTTTGCTTCACGTCCACGGCCTGTAGGTAGCATCAAGACCTATCTGCTTTCTTCTCATTTCCTCTTGCACCCAATAGGAGTGATGAGATTTGTGCTTTGAAAGGGGGTCCTAAAAGCAGTCGTCGTTAAAAAGTCAGTTTGAAAGCGATAAAACCGCTCTGAAGGTGAAAGCGGCCACGCTAGTCCCACCCATCAAGTGGATGATCTGGAGATGCAAGATCACCATGATCGACCAAAAGGTGTGGCACACAATCGCCGAATACGACCACCCTCCCTAAGCTTTGTCTCGATACCCCCTTCCCCTGAATTTCGTTAGCGTACCGGCACCACATAAAGGCTCTATCAGATATAATTTGAAACGAGTTTTAGCGAATTCTGAGGGTTCCCAATATTAGGCTATCCGAGATCATTTTCATGCAAGGTTAACTATATTTCAAATGTGCATTAATAGGTTGTCCCAAAAGTCTTTCCATATTCGGACCTTCATTTCGATATTTCTCGAGAACTAAGGATCATAGCAGGCTGCAAATTTGTGGCAGTAATTTTGAGTGGATAAGCTATACAGTCACCTATTTTTGGGAAGCAGAGAACTGATACAGACAAAATTTGAAAATTGAGCGCATTACTATTTTCTTGGTTTCTAGCCATCAGAAAAATGCAGCAAGTGCATGTATAAATATCCGATGAGGAGAGTACAGGCATGAGGAAGAGGAAAATTTGCAGAGTCGTTCTGAATCAAGATATGATGATTTTCGTTTTTCCGGGAATTAGGAAATTTTTTTATTTTGGCTTGAAAATGGTTGCGAATGAAGCTTGATGCGAACGTTTGAACGCCAACTTGTAGAGCCCGCTTTGATCTGTAGAATGGTACCCCGCATTTAGGAGTTCAAGAAAGACTGATTTATGTCGTTGGAAACTCAGGTATGAAAATACTTATGGAACAACCTAATAGCTACCTCTTTCTGTATTCATTACAGCACTACTTCTTATTTGCCCATACCAAAGGTCTGCTTTCGATAACCATCAAAATATGGATTTAGGAGCCAGCCAAATTCTCGTTTGTCCCATTTTCCGCTTATAGTGGTTGTGCCTCTAGTAGCTATTGTTGAACGAAAGAAGTCGAATTCAGCTCTTATCAGTTTCACAAAGACTACGAGATTTTGGCTATCGAAATGTATACAATTTGTTCCTCAAAATTTTCGAGGTAAGTTAATCGTAGCGGCACAACCTTGGAAAAGCTATGGCTGTCACACCTTTTGGGTTGTATCACACCTCATTGACTTACATTCAGACCATTGATATATCTGTGTTTTTTTGCATGTTTGCTACCGCTTAACCTTTTTCTTTACACAGTAGGAATTTCATTTGAACTCGTTTCTTCTAGGAAAGGATATAGTCGTTTCTTCTTACCTATGCAAATGGAAGACACTGCGAAAATAATGGATTACGGTAGCACGCTAAGTCTGTGCTATTAGCTGAATCGCCAGGGAAGGCGACAAGAATAAACATGTTCAATAGTCTGTGTTTCGTAACTTTTACAAAAGTGATTTGAGCCTGATTGGTTTTCTCTAGTCTGAGACATTGAAAAAAAAATGGTACAAACGAGATTTTGGCTTTCTCTTAATTCTTCAGTTTGGAGGTGTTTTGAAGTGGGATTCGTAATGTGAGCAAAGAAGTATTAGTTATTTGCATTAAGTGCAAAAGAAGTAGTCAACCCACTTTTGAAGGTATCATGTTCAAAATGGCCATCTCCTTTGGCTGGCTCAATTGGAAAACATCAGAATTCGCGAAACTTGGCCGCAAGGATTATTCAACATGTCGACTACGAAAATAATGCCCTTATGCTTTTAGGGCTTTTTTTATTATGTTTACAGTACGTATACGATGATATGCCAAAGCATCATTGTGCTAGTATTTTGCATGATGGGCCTATCTGACATTGTTAACGATTATTATATGTTATAATATCAGTATCGCTCGATAACAACACCTCCCCCCTTCTTGCTCCCTCACTTCCCAGTTGTGGCTTGCGACACCAGACGCTTGACCCTGAACATCACCCGCTTGATGGGCGGAGCTAGATTGGGCTTTAGGGTTGGCAAAAAGGTCGCAATTTTGATGATCATAGTGATTAGCGGGTTTATGACAATGTAAATTACATTTAAGACCAAATTTGAAGTTATTATCATCACGCCACCCAGATTAATGCGCGAAGCCAGCGTGGCCGCTTTAACATGTTTCGGACCGCGAAATCGCACGCGACGAAAAAGAGGGTACT